AGTTGTTCCTTGACCAATTTTCAGTTTTCAGTAAGTGGTTTTACAACATAAACTTTTCAGCAAATTTCGCCGGTATTCGTTTTTGACAGGATAGCACTTATTCTGTGCTTTTGCTTTTCCGTGGACTGCACCACCCAGGTGCTGCTGGTTTTTCAGGGTTGAGTAAGTACAAGATTTCATAGAAATTTCACATTGTCAAGCCAGCTATTTAAAATAAAATTCAGTGACGTCAAAACGGGAGCTTTTACCAGTTCGATAAACAGTATTTAATGGGAATACGTACAGTACTACTTCCGGTACAATACCGGTACATGGACAATGTGTACTACAATACATAGTACCCAAAAGCTTTTGTGGCATAGATGCACATAAGGAAATTTACTTTTGAAACGTCCTTAAAAACAGTAATATGGAATCAATCGAATAGGTTTTGGGCCTTTTGGCCAGTCCTCTGCAGCTTTAGTTTGAAGTTGTTTTTAGAAAATTTAAATACTCGTAATTTTAGTTGGTAATTTACGTTGTTGATAACCGCGTTGGACTTACGACGTACTGGTTGTGAGTAGCGTGTAGGCGATCTGCAAAACAGCATGTGGAGCGAGTTGATTTTAAGTGTTTGCTCTGAAACAAACATTAAAATCAATAATAATACGTAATAATTTGCAAGACATCAATAATACGTATTAATTTGCAAGACTTATGACTTACATATGTACATAATACGAGTATATCAATTTTCTCAAGTATATAATATGACAATCGCGTTATCCACGGAAAAAGGCGAACGAGATTTTATATTGTATAACTCGGCAGGTATTCGCGCATTTATTTTGGAAGTTTAGCAGATGTTTATGTATAATTTACGACAAGAAAGAGACTACGTCCCACCTTACGTCACCGAAGTCGGGAAGATGATACAACAGGAAACAGGCGGGGCACGGGCGACGGAGTTTTTGCGCCAACGGATCAGCATTGACGTCCAACGCGGGAACGCGGCCTCTGTCATGGGAACAGCACCAGCATCGGCCAACTTAGACGAAATGTTCTGTGTGATTAGGCCGCCATTTCCGTAGTCGGCTGAAGCTGTGTATTCAGTACAATTCTTTCACTTTTATGGAAACTTGTGACTGTATTGTAGCGCCAAGTTTCCGTGCATGTACACAATTTCGCGTGTCAAATAATTCGAGTTACGAGACGACACAACAAAAATATCTGTACATTCATGCTACCCGTACACACTATACAGTATATATGTACGAGTATATATGTATGCTACCCGTACAAGCTTGTCCGGTAATTTCTGTCGTAAAGGTACAGATAGCACATACTGTATTTTGCGCTATAGCGATTACCACTACACTACGTTTGGCGTAACACGCAAATTTGTGTATTTCGCTGTATTGAACCGGCAGAAATTACCGGACAAGCTTGTACACTATACAGTATATATGTACTCGTATCTTTCTTCCCTTCGTGTTAGCCCAATGTTCATTGCTGCTGACTGGTGAGTACAGTTGTTAATTCCAAAACAACCAGAAATCATCCCTACTCCAAGTTTCCAACTAGCAAACAATAATTTTACTGGTGTGCAGCAACGTGCCTAAATAGGTAGCCGTGTTTCTGTTTTCGTAAAATTGCGCCGCTTCAGGAATGCGAGAAATCGGTTTCGCGATTCGTGCGGCGCCGGGTTAGAGCCTATTTACAACCGCGGACAATACTCGCACATTAAATCGGTGGCGGTGAATGGAAGTGATGGTGCGATTCTCGAGCTACCCGTGGCAGGCTGGTATCTGGGATAGTGGATACAGTGAGGATATTGCCAATAGCAGAGGCACATGGAATCGAGACAGAAGGAGTGAAGGACGTTTACACGAACAGCATACATTCTTGAAGATCTATATCATCTAATGGTCTAAATTCTGAAATCATTTCGGACATTCACACGTGCAAAGCCGTTCCATTGCTAGAAAATATGAACGACGTAACTACTTATCATAAATAATTGATTGGTATACCTGTCCTCGTTTCAGTGCCAGCTTTTTCCAAGTTCCAAGTAAATCCCTAATCCGACAGACGGCCGCTAAATCATTTTTTCCAGATTTAAGTATTCTAAGTTAGGAAATGGGAGGATCCGCGTATAATACAAGGTCAACAACAACAGCAAACCAAGTCTCTGAAACTAAAGCTGCCGTGAAAAAAACTGGAAAGATACCAGTGCCTCATAAGATACTGACCTTTAATAGGTACCACAAGTAAGCACAAAATTTGTACTGAAACAAACGAGATTTAAAGCAAAACCACTTCTTCATTGCTATCCTGGTCGAGGACTAATTACTCAGTGATATAAACGGGAAGTATATTCAGTAGCCAAGGGCGCAGAGAACACCACACGGATGGGGCATCTTACCGTACAACGCCTGAAGCCGCTTTATCCGGATTTTGTCTTTTATCTACAAGAGTTTGTTATTTGGCCTAAGGCAAGCGTGTCAGGGCAGCTAACTTTTCAGATTACGGCCATTAAACGCCTTTAAAATTACGCTAGTAGGTCACCCGGTCAGACCCAATTACTGTGCGGCAGCGCGCACGTGCTTGCTTCTCCGTCGCCAGTAAACGCAGCTCACAGAGATTTCAATTGCGTTTTTAATGGAATGGTCCGGTAAACGGTACCATATTCGTCTATCTGCGCGAAAGCGAAAGTTTTCGCGCTCTCCCAAGCACTTTTTTGCTTTGTTTAATAACATTCTCTAGCCATATGACTTTAGTACCTTGGTGCGAAAACCGTTTGTGCGAGCAACATCCGGTTCGGGTATGGTTATCGCTCTAAAAGAATTCCAAAAAGTTTGAATACATTCGGTGAAGTGCTGACCCAAAGCCGCATATTCGAAATTCTGTAGTCTCACGGCTGCCGTCGGCCGAAAACAGACAGTGTGATCATCGTCCCAGGAATTTCTCTGATTATGTTGTCCATAATATCCGGTTGACTGGAGAACCTGACTTGCAGTGGTCCGCGACATGCCGCTTTTTAAGTAAAACCGAGGAAACCATTTCGTTTTGTTATAACAGGACAAAAAGATGTGATATGTCTGTGAAGTTTGAACAAATGGTGGCGGAGCACCTTCTCCCACATGCCAAAACAGATGCCACCTGAGCACTAATCTCATAAAAAACAAAAAAATGTGAACTTGCTACTGCTAAGCTTCCGCCCGCGAAATCTTCGTCCAGTTGCCAATACATATTGAAGATAAAAACGGAAAAAATTCGTATTCATCGCCAATTACGAGTACTAATACCAGCAGATCGCAAACAAAACCCAGTGATCGCTAAATGGCGTGCAAAAACGATACTATGCATTGATCAATAACCCGAAAAAATAGGGTCGCATTTAGTAGTTGATTGCATTAATTTTAGTAGTCGCACTTCATGACTTTAACAGAGAAACTTTAGCAGTTCTGCAGTTTACTTTGCGATTGATACATTACAGGAATTACAATATGCATGCCACCGTTGCCCGGCTTCCGGGCTTTGAATTTGTTTTGATTATTTTGTCGTAATTGTGCATATGAAGGAGCCTGAATTTTGTCGTAATTGCGCATATGAAGGAGCAAAAACGCGCGTTATCCCAAATGATGCATTCTCCTCTGATAAATTATAGCCTCCCACCCTCCAGTAATCTGAGCAAGTATGAATTATTCAGTAATTATCTAGTTATTTGTTGAATCTGTTATTTTCTAAAATTTTGATCATTATTTTATTTTTTGTGGTATATACTTTTCTACCGGTATATATTGCGGTTTCCATTTGGTTTCTCTACGCATTGCGTTCCACTTAACCTTGTAGATTTGTAGTGAAGTGGCTTCGGAACCAAAATTTGTCGAACTGCTGTTTAAAGCAGGCAGGGCGAATGTGACCTTTGAAAGCTCAGGATACTAAACTGATATTCTTACCTTCTATGACAATTTTTGAATACCTTTCACACGTTTACGCAGTTTTTCAATTAATTTTATTTTGCGTTTTCGATTTTGTCTACCTCCTTAGGCGCTGCCTACGATGACTAATTTTGATAGTCATTTGCTCTCCGAAATGTATTTTGACAAACTGATATGCCGATGTATGTACGCTAAATTAAAATTTTAAAATTATCACTTGAAGGGTTCGCGACCACAAACGTTTCAAATTTTCGCTCCGTGAAAAAAGTGCAAAATATAGTTGCATATCAAAATTGTCAAAAAATGAAAAATAGAATAAATAATTTCATGAAGAAATAAAAAATCACTTTTTGCTTTCGAGATAGAGCCAAAATCGCAAAATTAATGTTAAGTCTATGGAAAGAAAATAAACATTTTATAATTTATATGTATCTGAAAGTTTAAATTTTGTTCTTAATTTTGATATGCAACCTATACTGCACTGATATTCAAGCGCAGCGTCCGCTGTGAGTAAGCAGCCAGTTTTCTGGTGGCGTCGTTGCGAGGTTATTGAACCAGGACTGACTGATCGGTTCAACCTCTTTGTCGTACATTGTATGTGCTAAATTCAAAAAAAATTTTAAAACTATAAAATTATCGCTTGAAGGGTTCGGCGATGTCATCAGTTTGTTTTCCAAATTTTCGTCATCCAAAAAACTGTAAAAATATTTTTGTCAACATTTCAAAAAATGAAAAAATAGAATAAAATAATTTCATGAAGAAAATAAAAAAATCACTTTTATGGTTTTCGATTAGAGCCGAAATCGCAAAATTAATGTGAAATGGACGAAAATAAACATTTTTATAATTTATATGTATCTGATTGTTATATTTTGTTCTTAATTTCCTTACGCACACCTCACCGCCGGCGACAAAGCCACCCGCTGTTAGGCGACAGCCAGGATTCTGGAGGCGCATTCGCACTATACGAAGTGTAACGGTAATCGGCTCACCATTTTCGTCCTAGCCAGCTTTCCACAATCTCAGTGCAACAACGCAAAAACTCCATTTGGATTTGGCGCTGTTTCTCGCTTGCTCGCCAGTTTCCAGTTTCGAGTTTGCTACCTTTTTTGTGGCGTGGCATTACCCTTCTTTTATCTCTACGCGGTATTCCTTCAAATTGCTCCAATTCAGACTACATTGCGCTTAAAGTGTTCTGTGTTCTGAACTTGCTTTCTTCTCTGGCTCCTCGTAAATGAATTTTGGAAAGGTACGTGAACGCAGTGCTGCGCAGTCCGCGAACTCTGGCAGCCTTTCCCTTTCCTTTCTTCCCGGAATGTTTGTTTGCTGTTTACTCTTTTATTTTTACTGTGCATGATGATTATACAAGGTAGTTTTTATTTATTGTACAGTATTGCTGAGATGTCTCCTAAACTGGAGAATTGATGCACTTGTCTCATTGTTGTTGCAGCGCCGTACCATCAGCCTGGCATCGCTCCAGCGAATCTCGCGGGAGCATGCGGTTATGCTGGACGACCGCTGCGGTAGCGTCGATTTGTGGACGGATGACGGCGTACATTACGGGCGGATCGTGGACGTTGGCGTCGGCGGCCTTTTATCGACTTCCTCTGCCCGGATCGGCACCGCCAGTTCGCCCCCTACGGCCGCATCTTCCGGATGCCGAGGCCCTGCGAACTGCGAGAGTGGAGCAGCCGTAAGACGTGTTGGCACCTGCAGGTCATCTGGCGTTCCCATCAACACGGACCCTGGACCTGGGTGGGGGCGGAGCGGGTGTTGAGTCCCGCGGGGTGCTGGCGCATGGACGCGTGGCTGGTGCGGCTCCACAACGCCGCGGGCCGGGCGGCGGGGGCCCTGCACGTCTTCCCGACCGCCTGGATCCGCTATCCCAGCGAGAGTGCGGTCAGGGACAGCGCGGCTGGGACGAATGGCGGACCTCCAGGGGAAGAGAAGTTGCGGCGCTATTACGGGGACGCTTACGCTGAGCTCTTGGTCGGCCCGGAGACGTACGTCTTCGGGAGGGTGCAGTTGCCGGCGGCCTGTGCCGCTGTATCGGAGGAGACGCAGCGGTGTCTGATGGAGGCGTGGTTGTACCGCCCCGACCTTTCGTGGCCGCCGTGTGAGCTTCTCCGTCGGTTGGATGATGGCGTCCCGTGGATGTATGTGGAGCGCACAGGCATGGAAGGTTGGCAGGTGAGTTTGCACGGGAAATATGCGCGTCCCATCTTCACAATTATTGAAAGTTGGTGTTTGTTTAATTTTGAGAGAACACACTTCTCCGAACCTGACAATTATTCGACAGTTTGTTTCATTTCGTGAACCTTTCTGTGTCTTAAAGGGAACATCGATATTCACGATACTGTCGCTGAACGTACTCCTTGCCCTCTCCAGGGGCAGTGGGGCGCCCAAAAAATCATAACAATTCGGTTTCTGAATTCGAACTCACATCAGCGCTTAAATAATGCTTGGCTTTAGGGCTTAGGCCTAATCATTTAAAAACTGTTAGAAATCCAGTTTTTCTTACTTTCCAAGATGTCCTGTGGGTGTTGTACCGTTAGCAGTTCACAGAAATGCGCAGTAACGGTGGAGTATGCACTTGGTCCGGTTATAATTACTTGGAAGTTTGAAACCGTGCAGTTTGCTCGGTATATTGAGCGCGCGTTTTTACCCTACGGCCTACACACATTCTGTGGTACATTGTATAAGATCATCTCCTGCCAATATAGTATAACTGCTCCGTGTGCAGGAGGGCTTCCGGAAGGTTGCGCCGCGTCTGCAGTTAGCGCTGCCGCGGATATTCCGAATGCTGGACGTGCCCTTGGCCGTGGAGGCAGCCGCTGGCGACGGACTACAGCATCTACCGTTGGAACTGCTGCTGGAGGTCTTTTCCCATCTGGACACGGCAGAGCGGACGCGTCTGCGCCCAGTGTGCGCTCTCTGGGCCAGCGTTGTGCAGTCGGCGCCGCTGGCCACCGACCTCGTCATTAGAGGACGCACCGACTACGCCCTCCTGGCCACCCTCGTCCACGCTTGTCGCTCTTCCACCCGTCGTCTTGTCCTTCACAACGGCGATCTGGACAACCTCCTGAAACTGGCCGGGGTGGGCGCGCACTGCCCGGGAATCCGGGTACCCACCGTCCACCTCCCTCGTCTGACGTGTCGGCTCTCCGTCGACGCGTGCCCGCACCGGGCGGCGTCGACGGGATGCTCGGTGGGGTACTTTACGGAGGCGCTGCGCCGCCTGCCATGTGAAGAGATTAAGGTGTGGCAGTGCCACATTGACCTGCTGGACATCGCCGGTTACGCTGATGAGGAGCTGCGTTTGTACTGCATGATGGACACCCCTGTTAACATTCCCGTGGCTCATGTTCAGCCGACGAGTGCGGTGTTGGTGGAGCAAGTGTGGGAGCTTCTGGAGGCGGGTGTGGCGTGGACAGTTGCTGCGGATGACAAGCAGCGCGCCGCGGTCTGGATGGCGGAAATGAGAGCCATCCAGCAGCCACTGGCCAAACAGTAGCGCTTCCTGCTGGACTGGCTGTGCGAGGTAGGTCTTTTTTCTTCCTTTTCATTCGAGAAAACAATATTTCTCAGCATAGACAACATAAAAAATCATACGATTAACCTGAGAGTAGAATAGCAAAAAAACACAGAAATTCTAAAAACATAGGAGTAACGTAAGATAACTAACTTTAATTCTATAAAAAAGCCTATTAGGACCAAGAATACACAACAACCATGGCGGTTGAATGTCGTCAGGTTGTTTTGCTTGCAGACGCTGTGTGCGCTGCAGCATGCCGTGCACCGCGCCGGTGCCCCGATCTACGAGCAGTGCAGTATGGCCCTGCTGGAGGTGGACGTGGAGCATGCGTCGCCGCTGGTGCTGGCCTGCTTGGTGCAGTGTGCCGAGCAATGGGAAGTGAGCCATGACGGGAATGTGGAGGAACCGCAAGATTGGGCACATAACACGATGCTGAAGGCTCTGGTGGAGACGCGCATATGCCGCTCTTAGAGGGTTTCTTAGTTCTTTCTGTTTCCCTGGTTTGTACCGTGTTTGTGTGTTGTTTTTTTTGTTTTTCTCTGCCTCCGCTGGTCTGTAGTGGGTCGTTTTCTGTGATTGGGTTTTACAGGATTTTGCATGTCTGCTTTTTTGGCGAAATTGTCGTCCATAGAGCCACGGTCCATACGTGCAGTGTCGTTGGCGCCCTTTGTGTGGATCAACGGGTAGGTCAGCAGGACGACAACGACGTCCAGACTTAACAAAGTCAACATTCACAATGGCTATGATATTTAGTAGGTTCATGTGTCTTCCAGTAAAGCCGCGAAATGTTAATACTGCGTAGCGGAAATGGCCAGTCACATGAAAACCGTTTGCTAATCGTAAATTAAAGTGTGGATATGCCTCTAATTAAGTTTACCATATACTCGCAGTGTGTCTCGTACTGTACATTACGTCCTAAGTTCATCCACGGTATTGGTAGTGTGCTGGACTGTACAAGCATACCGGCGATACCGCGTATCCGGCGAACGATTGCGAGCCGGGAAAAATGGAGACGAAACGGGTAACTCGCACGCGAGTGGTAGTGAGGAAATTGTCAGCGACTTCCGGAAACGAAAGCGCCGAAATAACGTATGCGTGCTCTTCAGAAGTATGTCTACATCGCCAGGGCAGGGGCTGCTCGGCTTTCCGATACTTGGCAAAGCGCTAACGACAAATTATATTCTGTTCAAATAATTTTCTGTTTTTTACGCTGACACCGTCACACAGTGCGTACCAAGTCCATGACCATTTCATTTTACAGACTTACGAAGGAGACAACTCCGCCTCGATAGAAGTATAGCAGGAGTACGTAGTAGTCGTAGAAGTAAGTACTTTAAGCTTCTATCAATTTCCCGTTTCCGGCTCCAAAATTAATATTCAACATACAGGCATATCCGTGTACTGCTGGCGCGTGATAACTGACAAGTACAGTACCAGTCACAACCAAATACACCACTGCTTCCTTTATCTGCGTCTCTGTTACGTATCGGGAATGCTACGCCTGAATGGGTTGTGCCGCAGCGTGCAGCCGGGACTGCTGATCGTGAGTAGCAGTTTCACTGGCAAACTCACTCTACTCTCTTCACTCGCTGTCAACCAACGCAGCCAAGACAGAGACGCGCGGCTGCGTAATCTTGGCGTATCCTTGGGATACAAATACTTGCTTCTCGATCACTTTCCATTATTCCCATCGATCCAGCGTCTTCCCCGGCCGTAGCCGAGACAGAGCGATGCGGGGGGAATGTGCCGGCAAAGGAGCGCGCAAAGAGGATGGAAGATTTATAACGTTAAGTAAGCTGAATAATGTGCCACTCGGTTAAAGTTCACTTTACTGCACTCTGCGCCGACTGGCCGAACAGGATTCTGTCAGTGTTGCGCCGAATAAGTTACTGTACTTTTTCTAGCACCTGTCTTCGCTGGGCATTTGTCTTAATTTCAACACAGTTTATTATTTTTAAGACATAGAATAATCGCGAATATTGTTTTTATTCATTATTGGCGGGAATTAATGAATTAAATTGACTCGGGTCAGGGACTCAGGGGTGTGGTAAAACGTGTTTTTGGGAAGCAGCGCATGAGTTGAATTTCTCTGTAGCGTCGTGTGTCAATAGCGAGCGCCTGCACTTGCGGTTTGGCTTGGCTGGATAAAGAAGCCAATTATTCGGAATTTGCAGATGCTTTAAACAGTAACCAACACTCTCATCGCTCTGGAATGATTCATCCCGCTTGCCGCCGCCACAGCAGCATATCCATAAGGATCATCATGAGCATTTTACGTGTCTCTTTCCTCTCATCATCACCGCCGCCGCTGCTCTGATCGGCATTGCGCTGAAAAATGTGGAGTGGCGCAGCAGCGTGTCAACGGCGCTTCAACGGGCGAAATTGCTAGTCGTGTTCAGCTGGAAATTGCAAATTAATTACAGGAGATCCGCAGTCCTCTCCGCTGCCTGTGCAAAATATCCCCGATATTCCTGGATTGTTGCAGTGTGTAGGGAAAAATCATGGAGCGCAGCCGGACGACCAAATCGCGTTTCCCGAATTTGCCATCGTTTTTGCAGTCGTCGCAGAAGAAAAATCAGAATAAAATCAGCGCGCCTGGTTTAGCTAAACGTCAGACGACGGACTGGTCGCGGAAGGGTGGGGAGTATGCGCGTCTGCCGAAATTATCCCCGACGGGGGATACGAACGGGAGGATTTCGCAGTTGTCCGTCGGGAGCAGTTGCTCGTCGGGCGACAAGGAGAAAGTGGTGTTTGACGATGTGGAAAATATCCAGGCCAGTAATGGGTTTCATAGTGATGACGATATGGAGGATGGACGCGAGATGGGCAACGGAACGGGAAGGAAAAATGCTGCGAAAAGTCCCGATGTCGTGGTAAGTGCAGGCGTCTGGATTCTCTGGAAGAGGCATCCAGAAAAGGAAAATAAACCAAAATAAAGCATTTTTGAATTATTAAAGAAGCGCAAGGGATGAATAACCGGTACAGTGGCAGCTAGTTTCTCATTAGTCGTACAGGGATTTTCGATTTGAATCCAGTTATATTTATGAATGTTTTTATTGGCTTGAAATGTTTGTTTTTGTCATAAATATTTTGATCTGCAACTTTTTTTTAAAATTTGGAATTGTATGGATTTTGTCGATCTGATCATTGGAAAGAGCAAGCGCGATTAATTGATCTGTTTGTACGCGTTAACTGACGGAAACGCTGGTGAATAGGCAATTATGAATGGCAGATTGCACGTGAATGGCAGCGGCTAATTAGTCTGTAGCGGCCTGTACGGTTTATTGGCTGTTACACAGGGATTGATTGGCCCACGCAGCGTTTATCCGTTCGATTATTCCCCTTCGCACGTGAGAGCATTTTTCCCAGTCTTTTCAAACAGGATTTTTTATTGGAAACTGAAGCAAATAATTACCGAGAATGCGGCAGACAGTGCGCGAATAATTTCCGCTGATTTTACATTTTCTGTATGGACTGGCAAACGTTGTCGCTGACGGTTATCCAAACACGTGGAAAATATGTTCGTGCGTTTTCATTGCGGCAGTGATATTACTTCCGTTGAATTTTTGAGTCAGCATTTAATTTAGGGCCTTTTGTTTTTCTTGTTTCGTGAGTCATGATGCCTATAAATCATTCTAATGTCAAAGAGAACATCCTTCGGCAAATCGGTCCGGCCTGGTTTAATTGAAAGATTCCTTAACGTGATTGGAAAGTGAAACCCGTCTTTTGCTTAGAGCGAGATAGAAGTATCGCATTTTATCCAGTAAAGACGTCGTCAAGGCTTTTTGCATTTTTATTGGCAAGTGTGTTGGTAGATTTTTATCGTCTCCGCTATGTTGTTTACGATACGCACGGATGACTCCGTAAGTGCTCATTTTCAAAAGTAAAATAGCGAGAGTTTTTAAATCTGAATAATTTTTAATTTAAAAATTGGCCGGAAATTTTCGAACTAATTTTGTTAATAAGTTATAAGTAGCATGATAATTCTATTAAGACGTTTAAATTGTTTTGGTATTGCCACATGGGTTTAAAAAATAAAATTATCATTTTCGCTACCCTTTGTAAAATATGTCTTTTATTTTAGGTAGTCGCATTTTTGATTTTTTCTTCTTTAATTTTTATTGATTTACTGGTTTAATCCATGATTAATTTGCTGGCTTATGGTTTTATTACTTTATTAGATGATATTTTACGAATGAATGCCTGTTTTTGTTTCGCATCTGGTCTATGGTTCTCAGTTTAGAAAAAAAGTATTTATTTTATTTAAACTCATAGTCGTAATTTGTTGTAAATCGCATCCGCTAGGTCGATGTACATTCGCGTACTCACTGCACTACGCTACCATACAAGCTTGACTCGACACTTGGTATTAATTACCGGTTAGGCCGCAGTATTAATTATCGCTTCGTTGTGGATGCTGTTGTACTTAACAGTCGTAAATCAGATTTTCCCATTTATTTATTATAACAATTTCCAGGCTTCTTTTTCAGTGAAGTGTGTTATTGGTTTTAAATTTTTTTATTTAATTGAGAAACTTTATTACTTTATATTCAATTCGGAACCATTTTTCCGAATAATTTTCTCATTAAATACGGTGCCTTGCATCAACAAAAAAAGTAGTTTGTTTTACTAAATTAAGAGGGAACTTTTTCCTCTAATATTTAAATACAGCTGCTTGTGCCGGATTTTCCAGCTGTCGTCTGCCGGCACGCACAGCAAAGTGCGTGATTAGGAAAATGTACCCAGTAGTTGAGCGAGAGCGTTTTTTTTCCAACTGGCTTCCTCTTGCGTTAGGCTAATCCGTTAATGGTCGGATGACTTAATGATCCGGTTTGGTTTATTTGTTTTTGTCATGCCCAGTGAGAAGCGAATGCATTTCTCATTTCTGCCCCATGGCATTCTCTTCCGCCAGTTGGCCGCCCGTGCATAAGTGCGCCGATAAGGTGACCCGGCCCCGGCCGTTCCCGTCGCTTTTCCTCGTCCCCGTGTTGACTCGGGTTTTTATCAGCTGGCGTGTCAATAGATGATAAAAAATGTCAACAATCGCCAGCAACGACGTCATGTGAGCGCGGTTCGATCAACCCGGGCTGCTGTCGCAACGTTAACGCATTGTGACCGTTGCGCTAATCGAATTTTGGGGGGAATGGTTGTGCAACGAATCCGCGGGTTGGGAGAGTAGGGAGAGGGAATTTGCATATGTATCGCGATGGGAAATTGAAATAATTTAAAGGAAATACTTTTGTTATCCACCGACTTTTGCGAGACACACGCTCGTAATTTTATGAGTGAATTCTTAGACGACAGAAGAAAAATGTGAACTGAGCGGAAATAATTTTCAAAATTTAATTTTGTTCAAGAATTTTAGAGTACAAATTTTTTTCCCGTATAGTATTTGGAAATTGAATGGTTGGTTTTATTTTAATTACTCTTTGAATATCTGCATGAAATTATGTAAATTAAAATTAACCACTCGGATGAATGTGGGCTTATGTGGCCATAAAATCAGATTATTGTTTATTGTTCAATGGCAAATAAATAGCGCTTAATCCGTTAAGGCAGTGGGATGATTATCGAAAAAAATTGAATAGCCACTAATCCGGTAATAAAAAGGGATTATTAATAAAGAGAAATTAGAAAGCCAATGAATCTGGATTAGTGTTATCATGTTATGTAAAATCAAAAACGACTAATCCGTTAATAAATGCAATTTATTGGTTAAAACACGAATGGAATAGTATTTGTAAGAATTAGAATTGCGAATAATCCGTTAACAAAATTCGATTATCGCTCATTTAAAAATGTTAATGTTGCTGTTAATACTGTGACGGTGTGAATAATAAATGTGGGATTTATTGTCGGACATTGCAGAGCACGGATTCCTCGCGGGTGGCCCAGCGTCTGGCCACGGTGTCGTCGCCGGTAGCCGAGCGGAAAACCGGCCGGCGTTCCTCCGCATCGGCCTCCACGGCAGCGTCCGCCGTCGTCGTTCCCTGTGACAGTTTAATCAGCTTTAAAAGCGATGATGCGCCGGAAGAAGCGTCCGTGGCGGTGAGCGGCAACGCCAGCGCGGAGGATGCGGTGTGGAGTGGCCGCGACGAGCCGCTGATGGATGGGCCTAATGGCGCATCACCGCATGCTAATCACATTAACGGCCTCCATCTCGCTAATGATGCCCGGATTAATAGGTACGTGTGCGCGGGGTGCTCTCGGCGCGGAGGCGGCTGGGAGCGGGGACAAGTGGTGTGTTTTGTTGGCGGACAACAGCTGTGTAGCGTTAAAGGGGAAATTTAATGGCTTTTTTCTGTGTAGGGATTTTTATTAGTAATTTAATGGTAGATTGCGGACTGAAAATGCACAGTTAAATGCTCAATGACGGAACGAATTTTATTACAATTATTAGATGTAAATTTGCAGCGGAATAACGGTTACATAATTATTACTTTGGTTAGATCTTCAAAATTTTCTATGGTACTTTGTATAAGTAATTTTGAAATTAGTTTAAAACTATTTGATTAATTTCAGAAAGAATTTCAGTGATACTGTGTGCAGATTTATGGTGCAGTAACGATCATTTAATTTTACTGGTCGAGTTCTAGTCTTTGGAACTTGGCATGTCAGTGCGGTTTTAGCTGGAGTAAGAATTTTGAAATTTTTGTTTAAATAAATTCTATAAGAGTGGATTGCAGAAGAACATGCGTTGATAAATGAGCAGTAAAAAAAGAATTGTATTGAAAGCCCTTGCAGATTTGTGATGATATTACTAGTTAGTGTGTTGAACTGAATCTACTCGTAGAAATTGAAATCGTCAAAAATTTTTTTACACTACAGTAATTCTGAAATTCTGTATTCTATAGTATGAAGCCTAGTTGTTTAGTTAACAGCTGAATTTTATTTTGGGAAACCACTACCCTGTGCCGTTGCACTACGGTTGCTGGCTGTTGGTTAAGCATCGAACCGGCACTCGGCGGGGCAATTAGCATATCAAATCCAACAGATGAGAGTGTATTTATTTTTTGGACAAACCCCCCGATTAACGGTGGATGGGGGCCGAGTGCGTGCATACAGGCAGCGGCCAGTGCGGCGTGTTGGCCTACTTGATGCGCTTGAACGGGCGCACAAAGCCAGGTCCTTCGCGGTGAATGAGTGGATGAACATACATATTTCAGATTATCAACACTCTCTCTCCTCTGCCGCCGCTGTAGCAGCTACTTCCACCCCAGTGGAAATGATCAAGGCAAATAAATCGATGTTGCTGCGCTCACTGAATACTGGCGAATCGATTGCGCAGATAACTGTTGCGGAGTTTATCGGCGTCTGCTTTAAGAAGATAATTTGTACTCGTATTTGAATTGTTTATGCGCAAAAAAATCCGATTTTCCATTTGGAAAAAAATCGAATGCAGAATTTCTGAAAAGTGAAATTGAACGGATGTAATTTTAATTAATAAGAAGATATTTATTTTTTGTGAGACCCATAAGAAATTACCAGAACAAAGTGCCGATTTTCATTAAAAAATCAATTATTTAGTTTCTTTTTAAGCAGCGGCGTTGAAGAATGTAAGCTTACCGAACTTTTAATTAAATAGACTGGAATTTACGCTACTGCTTCACTAGTGCGTGTTCCAAGCTTTACTGAATATCTAGTTTTCGTAGTACAAGGGCACATGCGATGCTGAACTGAACAATCTTGTAAATATTTTCGTAAACAATTTGAATATAATCGAAAGGGCGAAAGAAATTGATAGCGAGTTTTTATTTTATTTTTTTATTAAAAGTTTTTTTAACGACGAAAGCCTAAAAGAAGTCGGTGGTGAATGTTTCTAGTTTTTTCGAGAAACTTTACTGCTATCATCATTTTTTTACAAAACACCGACTAAGTCAGACACGAGGAAAACCTCAAATGTTTCCTTGAAATTACCGGCTCTGAAGCGGTCTTTTTAGAAATGTGATGTGGTTGCTCAAACTGTCGAGTCTTTCTGGGTTGTTCTCAAATCGCATGACCACCGTTTAATTTTTTTTATCGGTATCCAGAATATAAGAAAATTTGTAAGATCGTTATTCGAAAGATCACTCTTTTCAAGTTTAGTTTCCTTTCTCGAGCTTGCTTCGGCTGGTGGCGATCGGTCACGCAGCAGTGGGCTTTCATTTGTGAAATGTACGAACTTTAAAATGGGAAACGGGAAAAAGTTTATAAATGGTTTCTTTTTTTAAATTGCGATACTTCTGATAACTTGCAGTCTTGCACGCATTACGAAGGACTACTTTTGGAGCATGTGGCATTGCACTACGTTTGTGGGTTCTTTAAGCAGGCATTGAATGATGATTTGAATCAGCACTTATTTTATGGTTTTTGCTTGCCGCTTTCCTTTTTCTCGAATTTCCATGAAACAAGGTTCAGAAAAAGTTAACAACCATAACGATAGACTTGCAAAATAAATTGTAAAATACCGTGTTGTCCTGCAAATAATGTGATGGAAAAATGAATACTTTGAAATTTTATACCGGGAATATAAAGACATCTTGGCACTTGCAATCGCCAAGATTTTAAGTAACGAAAATACGGTAGCGTTTTTTTTGCATAAAATATTTATTGTGGGTATATACTAGTGTACAGTATTTTTGGAAACATATGTTTCATGGTTGACGATATGTGAAAGATTTTTTTCCGTCGCATAATGACGTCTTGTTGTCGCGCTTTTTGGTGCAGAATTTTTCGGCTGGCGGCGATCGGTCACGCAGCGGTGGGCCGCTCTCTCATATAAAAATGTTCAAACAGTAAAATTTAAACGGAAATTGTCGGGCCTGGAATATGTCTCGGGAATGGGGAGCAACAGATTTTGTCGTGAGCGGCTTAAAGGGTCTCCTGGCGCGCGCAACGCATGTCGCTCGGCTGGCCAGCGACAAGGAGAACGCTGCCGGGATCGGGCAGTCAGCGGTGGGCGCCCATGCCATTAGGGCCCGGTATTATTCGCCGCTGACGTGCATCTATCGATGTACAGCAGCCCCATTCGTCTTACAACGCAATCAACCCATCAGTATCAATTTTCATGAGCGTTTTCCAGGGCATTTAGCGCTGTCGTTCCGCCTATGTAACGGCATGTCATTTATATTGTGTGCTGCGTTCAGCGACGAAAAAACGACGGCGCCCCGTCGTGTTGGACGAATGACCGGGGAAGAATCCGGCGAAATGAGCCATTTTAATGTCGCTCATTATTAGGGGAATAAAATCCTGGAGGCTGCAATTCGACTGTGATATAGCGAAAATGTTGATTGGGAATTTTGCTGGCCACTGCGCAATATGTGAATTGGCCAATATTATAATATAGCTATTTTTAAAAATTTATTTTAAATATTATTAAATATTATTTTACAATTATTAATTTTAAAATAAATATTTTTAAAAAATGATAAGTTTTACTGCCCATTTTATGTTGTTGTACAGGAATGGATTGTTCGCAGAACTTGAACAGCGTCAAAAGAACGCTGCATATAACCAGTGCCATTGTACTACACTAGGTAGCTGTTCGCCATGTATTGAACAGGCAGTCGCTAGGGTGATAATCGTGCCAGTTCAGTAAAACGATGTAAAAAATGGATTTAAGGGTGTTCGGTGCGGTGATTTTTTCCGGTCTTTCGTCGTTTAGCTTCAAAAATTGAAAGCTGATGGTGTTACTTCGAAACATTATTGGAGAAATAGCAGTTAGAAAAGATTTTGAAAAACGAAATTTAAAAACAATTAATACGTTAAATTATACGTTTTAGTGAAGTCACAGGCGTTGTTATTGGATAAATCAAGAGACTGAAAATTGACTTAATAAATACAGATAAATAAAGAAAAAATAGTTTAAAAGAATCAGAAATTCCGTGTGGATTTCAGAAACCTTTTAAATGAAAATTAGTGTTATCGATCGAAAACGTATTTCTCGATTAATTACTGTGACTGATTTTAATTCGAAGTCGTAGCAAAATGAAACGTTCATGATTTTTTTCTAAGGTGACCGGGTTGTTTTCTGTTAAGTGTTATGTTTTCGGGAAGTAGTAGCAGGTTTTATGTGCGATGTTAATGGTTGTCGGCCGGAAGGCAGTGCCTGACGTCACGTGAACCCGGCGTAATCGGATGAGGGAGATTAAAAATTCCATTTAGCCGTTAAGCATTTCTTTATCAGCTGTTGGGCTTTGTTGCACTGCGCGCAGACTGTATATCGATTTCCGCTGCGAACAGTCCGGCAACAAAACTTCCGCCTGGATTGCATTACAAAATTCCATTTCCGTCGTGCTCAGTCATATTTACTCAATGCGCCGCTTTGTTGCGGCGAGGAAAACATAGGAAGACAGCAGCGCCAACGCAATCATGATATAGTAACCGGTTGCTTTTGCATGAGAAAATGTAGTAGAATTCTCCGGAAGTGAAACAGATCGCGCGGCGCATACCCGGTGGAAAAGCGTTGTGTGTTCGCAGAATAAAAATGGAATATTTCCGGTGTTTCTCTGTGCCGTGTTTATGTTTTTGCTAGGCGTTTAGCGCCCAGAGATGAAGAATCGAAAAACCGAAATCGAGCAGTGTAATTATCGAGAAATCAATTGCAGAAATAGTAAAACTGAGTTATAGAAATTAAATTCCAAAAGTTTAATTCGAAATAATGGATACAAGAATAGATCGACAGAGTCATTGCGTAGTATAAATTTAGAATTTTGTAATTTGCTTGGCCATTTTGTTAATCTTGCGTTTTCGTTTACATGTATTTCAGATTATCAGATGTCAAGCAAAATGTTGAAGAAAGTGACAATATAAATAAGTAATTAAAGCAAATAAATAAAATGAAAATAATTGCCCCACAAAATTATGCAAAAGGCCCTCTCAAAAACAGTACAAGTATGAATTAGCTGAATAGCGGGACGATGCAAAAGATCGATGCAAATAATTTGGATAAATAATTGTAATTAGATTAACAGTGATTTATTCCATATACGACGAATTTTTTCCTCTATTCCCTCGTACCTATCGAGCATATCTTGTTTTTTTCCCGTAACAGTTTACACTGCTTCGGTAGTAAGTTGTGATAATTCAGATGCCCACAGTTCAAAAATTTCCGGGAGGGAGTTTTAATTTTCAAAAAAAGCCTCCTAAATGCCAGAACCGAGTTTTTTATGATCTAACCTTGGATTGTGTTGCAGTCGGGCTCCGCGCACCAGTCTGGAGACGATCCGGCAGCAGATTCGACAGATTGAATCGGAGATTGTCTCGCACCGGGGCTACGGCGCCTCGACGCCCGGCGACAAGGAGCACCTCTTTGGCGTCCCGGCCCGGCCCCTGCAGTCCTCCTGCTCCAGCCAGAGCATTCCGGCCACGTTCCATTCCCAGCGCCACCACGATCCCGACGGCCGTTTTGGTGGTAACCGCTTGTTACTAATTTTCTGCTGTTTTTCGTAGGGTTTTCTGATTTACTTTTCGGCATTCAGCAGATTCATAGGAGTCGAATTTTCCCATAATAAAATTATTGCTGTTAGTTTAACATAAATTGCTTGTTATAACAGTTATAAAAATTTAAAAATAATTGTATTAGTTATAAATTACTTGTCAAAAATAACTCTTCGTTATTCGGCATTAGCCAGTTTAAATAAAAACAAATTGGCGAATAGTGATTAAAATTTTAGTTAAAATAATAATTGTCCGTGAAAAAAATTGTAATTAAAACCAATGAAAGTTGTTAAGAAACGTTAACTGTGTAGTTAAAATAAGTTTAATTGATAAATAGCAAATTATTATTACAGGTCTGCTGTTAGTTCCGCTCTGGCATGTTTAGTTTTGTGCATAACGAGATCCAGTACGAGTTCCGTGTTATTAGAGTGACATTGTAGTGTATGGGCGATATACACGTCCCCTCGATGCAAGCGACAATCCCTCGCGTAGTTGCACTGATGAAATTTACTAAGTACAGAATAATAATTTAATTCGATATGTTTGTTTTTTCAAATTTGGCTAGCAGGATAAATTGAAGGTTATTGGTTATCGGTGATCGGTGATCGCCGGTGTAACCAACAATCCAACAGACTGAACAATTATTTTTCATAAGAAGGGGTTTCGCGTGGTGAAGCACCGGTCCGTGTTGCAGGCCGCGGGAACGGGGTGTACGCGGCGGACGGCCGGTGGAGTGTGGGCGGCCCGATGCAGCGGGCGTACTCGGTGGACGTGGCGGTGGCGGCGGTGCTGAGCGACATCCAGAGCGCCGTGCGCCGCAACAGTATGGTGCGGTTGAAGGGCTCCACCTACAGTCTCAACGAGCAGCGACCCCCCTCGGTGCTGGGACGGGGCATCCAGGAGGAGGAGGACGTGGTCGTCAGCGGGCCGGAGGACCCGGAGGTCAATGGGGATCCCGTCTGGGTTAAAAGGTCAGTGGTGGCGAATGATGTGGAGGGTTTTCTGTTGGCGTTGAACCAGAATGGGCCGGAATATTATTTTCAGTTTTGAAATTTTATGAATTAAATTGAAATAGATTTAACGCCGCCTTGCACGGTATCTGGGGTTTTCGGAATCGGTTTGTGGACTGTGTTGCGCTGCTTTTTCGGCTGAAAAATTGTACATAATCAAAAGTATTTTAATTGTTAATGATTTAAATTACCCTGCTTGTTTTGTAAATAACGTTTATTTTTTTATAGAGTTTCTTATGAAAACTTCCACATTTATTATTTAGGTTATCTCGGTTTTACTGAGATAATTGAGCGGAAAAAGTGACTGCATCTGCTAGTTTACTCATTAATAATTCTGATTACTTATTGGTCTGATTATTCATTACTAATATCGTTATTTTTTAAAAGATTTTTGTAAGTGAAGTTTCATACCTGGATTATAATTTTTTGGATTTTATCCAGATAGCAAACGTAGAAAGAATTTGTTTATTAATAAATTTAATCGAATTTATGAAACTCCGAAATCGAAATGTGGAAGACTACTAGTAAATAATTTTTTGGCTTCAGTTGAACTTAAATAATTTAAGTTTAATTTTTTGGCGAATAAATAGTTCTGAAAAACGTCGACGATTAACGTCTCGATCGTAACAGGAACGTCGTAAAAGATACAGGAATGCATGGGATCCGTCATGTGATGATCTCCGAAAAACGCTGTGTAACGTTTTAATAAAAGTGTTTTGAAAAGCCTGAAAGGGGCCTAATTGTGGCTTAATGCGTCTGTTTTCATTATGCGGCGGAGAAAAGGGGAAAAGGATCGTGAAATGCGAGACCGGCGCCAGCCGGTATTGGGTGGCGCGGGGATAATTGCGGCGCAGGGTCCCCGTTTGCAGCAGCTGTTGTGCTGTTATAGCAAAACACTAATCGGCTGGCATAGGCACTCGCTAATGCCATCAGCCCGCGGAATATCCGCGGCTGACTGCACACTCACACAGTGCGTCCCCACACGGCCCTAATCCGTTAATGGACCTAATGATACCTTCTCCCCGGATGCGGCCAATGGTGGCTGTCTGACGTTCGCCGGAGAGAAGTGCTTGTGTTTGGCGTTTTGAGCGTTTTTCGGTGCGACGGTTGTGGCGGATGTCCTGCTGCATTTGCGTGATTGCCCTGTGACGTGGATGCGGGAAAGTGGCAGGGTTGAAATAATCATGCTGCGTCAGTTTGGGGAAATTAATTTAAAAGACAATATGGGGCCGGTGCGTTGATATTTGTCGGCGGGTGGTGCGTTTTGCGTGGAAATAATTTATAAGTAAAGAAAAAATTATTTAAATAAAGAATAGGGAACTCATTGTTATTGCGTATATTTTATTATATAAAAATTCGGTTAGTTATTTTTATTATTATTTTTTCATTGTGTAATCTGTTATATGCCACGCGCACACGAAAAGTCCTCGAGGGCTTCCGAGCCGTTGTTCTACGTTTGTTAATTAATGAGTGTGTGTTTCTACTGGTTATGTCTGTGTCTTATGATACCGCTACGGAAACTCTGTTCGTTGCCATGGGGGTTTTTTGCCCATTTATCCTCTTGTATTCAGCAAAACATCGGCGTTTCCTGTACGGGAAGTTAAAGTTGTTAAACTTCACTCTTTGATAAAATTTATGTTAATTTTTGAAAATTCTTTAAGCGTTGAAGATGTGTATTTCAGTGCAGTATTCTCTCGAGTTCGGTTAGTGAGTGAGCAGATTTGATCGATACAGTGTGCAAAACGTTGTTTGAAAATCTTAGTTTTCCTTGTCTTAGTGTTAGTTTTTTTTTAAGAATTTAAGTTTTGTCATCTTTTTCAACTTGTTGGTGTTTCACTTAATTGGTTGGTTATAGTGAAACGATTTTACAGCCCTTTAACAATAATCTTTTTTGTCTTGGTTTATAAAACTTAATCTCATTATTTTGTTATTTCAGTTTATTAATAATTTTATTTCCATGTTTCTTATTTTATTTATTTCATTTTTGTTGACTTGTTACGAGTATTAAGAGGGAAAAATCTGTTTAGCCGTTTATAAAAATAATTTCATTTTGTTACTGTATTTCAGTTTTTCGCTATTTATTTTTTGTTTCTTATTTATTTGAAAGAAATAAAAAAGCCGAAAAAAAAGCATACGAGTATTATGGAAACGAAACTCTGTTTAGCCGTATGATAATAATTTTTCTTAATTTCTGCTAATTGAATTTTATTTTGCTGCTTAGGTATTTTAAATTTTTTTCTTTTTCACAATTATTATCCGGTTTGATCCACACAGCGCAGCGATTACTGCGTAATAATGTTTCCAACATGGCGATTAAATCATCATCGAACGCAAACAGCCACGAGCACGATCCGCCGCCACCGCACAGTGTTGTGCCCGGTAAAACGGCCGGAAGCAGCGGGGAAAGATGAACCGGTACATGCCGGTCGAACCTGATCTGTTCCCTGTGCATCCAGCACTGTTCATCCCGCAACCCGGCCTCTCCGGTGTCCCGTGGGCATAGCAGACATATTAACCGTGGCGTAGCACATAGCCGGCACTTGAAATGGCCGCCCCGGGGATTTCGGGCTGATTAAAAATAACCTGGATTGTCTTGCCTGTACACTGCACTCTCCTCTTCTCCCTTCCTCTCTCTTCCCGGTGTTTGCGCGCAGTGCTTCTCGGCACTCTCCCACTCATGCGTGTGTGCTGCTTGCCACTCGATACTTGTTCCTTCCAGCGCAACACTGTTTCCATCGCAATTGCGACCAGTGTTTTTGCAAATTGGAATTTATTGTTGATTTATTGGGGATTTTTTTCCCGGGTTATTTTTGTTTAATTTAAATTAATTGGGATGGAGGTGTTGGAAGAGGGCGGGCGCCCGGCGGAAACAGATGTGAAGATTCTCAGGTAATGTGGTCGGGGGTAATGTGTCTCCGTGGAGAGATAAATGAGAGGTTTGGTGAGGATTTCCGCGGCGTGTGTGCGGGCGGATTTGCTGCGGAGATAAATGCGGATGATGGGCGATTTGCGGCGCCCTGTGGGTGTGGTGGGAGAACATGTTGTACCTGTACATGCGCGATTAGTGTTTGAAAATGCGCCCTCCGAGAGGGATCGCGGATCATCCGTCAATCTGTCGCGTTGTCTCAATTTTCCTGGCTGTTTACGTGAATTTTTCCAATGATTTTTTCGACGTAATTACTGCTTCCATAGATATAAAATAATATAATTATGTATTGCTTTTATAAATGATTTTCTCAGGTTTTTAACAGTGATGGGCAATTTATTTTATTGGACGTATTATTTCAATGTAAAAAGGAAAAAAGCAGTTTCTTGTTTTAATTTTAATTCCGGAAAAAACATAATGTTATAATAATATTATAATAATGCTAGTATGATAATGTTATAAAATTTATTTTGAGAAATATCTATAATGTTTTTTCGCATGTGTCATTTGGGTACTTTAATTGCGTGATTTGTCTAATGGAAATTCGTAGTGAAGTGGTCACTGAAGGCGTAAATGAATGACGAATATGATCCGACATTTACAACCTTCTGATGTTTTGTAAATATTTAATATTTTTTTTGAATTTTGTGTACTTTTTGCTACTGTTCTGACACAGAAATTTTTTGGTTTTATTTCATTGCCAGATATGTACATTCACAGCTTTGATTGCACGATAATGATGTAATTTTTGGGAAAAAGATCGTTGTTTGTTTTTACTTCTGTGCTGCACTTTGGTTGCCTTATTCTCCTGGCACTTAAGCAATATGAAAAGGGAGTTGCAGACAATCGATGTCTTTTGTGGAGAGTGGGATGGTGCGGACTGGAGAGTATCCGTTGATGCTCACGTGCGCTGAATGCCGAATGTGACTGGCGGTTATGGAGGATAAATATGACAAACGTTTCCGGTTAATCGTGTTTGACAGCCCATCGCAGCATACAAATTCAATTATTTCGATTAAATTACCCGCACTTCGATATTATTTTTTGCGATGAAAATAAGTGCCACAGACTTGCTTGCGCCTTTTTATTTTTTGGTAAATTGAGTTTTTTTTAATAAACTTTCTGGAGATAAAGTTTGTAGAATTATCTAAACGAAACGCGGCATTTTTTCCGTTTTTTTATATTTGTATTTTCTAAAATTCGCTGGTACGTATACGGTATACTTATTTCCAATATTTATTGAAATTTTTGACATGATTATATGTAGTTTGTATTGAAATTCCTGATTTGGCGGAATTTGTTCTTTGGATCGCCGATAAATTTTTGCAGACTGTTTTAGGGTTTTTTGAACAAAATTGGCAACGAGTGACGGAAGTTTTTAAAAAGCCAAATTCTGTCCTGTTTATTTTCGAGATTTTGTGACATAATTGTGTATAATATAACAATATTTTTTGAAAAACTCCCGATTTGTGCAGAATTTCTCCCAAGCTTGCAGCTGAATTTTTGCAGGCTGTCTTTATGAATTTTCTTAAATTGACGACATGACGCGATGAAAAGGCATTAACACGATCTCGTCGTATATTGATTGCATCGGCGGGGTGGTGGAAGATTGATGAAGTAATAAAAGACGCGAATTCCGGCAAATTGATAGGGACAGTTATGACCTGACATTGTGTGCTGTTGCTGCCTGATCGGGTAATGCAGCGGGCGGGCGGGGTCAGGGGTGCGTCGTTGGCGGGGATAATTAGACGATGTGGAGGGCCATCTCGGCGACCCTGGATCGCCGCACTTCAGCCGGCGTTGAAAGGCCTTTCTTCTGGCCTTTTCAACGGCTGCTGGAGGGTCCTTGGGCGCGCGCAGGAATTGGCAATTTCGATGCAGTTGGATGGGTTTAATTGGCACTGTGTGTTTTCCCACGGTTGAACAGTGTGAGAAAATCGGGCTGTGCGTTGTCGTGACGGGGGTGAACTGGGTAATCTGATAAAGTTGGTGGATTGCGGGATTGAAATTTGCTTGTTTTGTCGGAAATTTTTGGAGAGGTTTTTTTATTCTGTTTGCATCGATTGGAAAACTGATTTTGGCGAGTTTATTTTCTCTGCAAGATTTTCCTGAGCAAATTTGCCGGTTACTGAGCAGCTGATACGTGAATCTTTCGTCCTTATTTTTTTACTTGTGCATCAAACTTTTATTTTTGAAATTTTGCTTTTGAAAAATTATTTCAATGGTTTTAAAATTTGCAAAGATATTATCGCGAGAACACTCCGCGTTTTCCCGAAAATTTGTTGCTATTTGCTTCGTTTGTCCTTTATAAATTTATTTCAAAGGATTTGCAGTGTTAATCCAATTATTTAGATATTGTTTTGTGTTTTTGTGTTGTATTTTCCCGAAATGTCGCCTTAGTTTTCTTGGTTTCTTCTTTCTTAAAATTTTGTAAGGGATTTTTAGAATGTGATGAATTATAAAGATATTGTTTTTTAACGTTATACGTTTCCTATATTTCGGTTTTATTTTCTCGTTTTTTGTAAAATCCTGTTTTCAAAAATTGCAATACATTTTTTAAAATGCTACAAATTCAGAACTTATTGTATAAAAATAACTAGAATTTTTCAGACATTGTTACAGTTTATAAGTTCTAAGTATTTGTTATCTGTGATAATTAATTTTGATAACTGGCGAAATTAATAAAATTTATTATACCCGGAAATATTTTTCGGTCGTGTGCATGCAGGGTGAGAAATTGCTGAAAGTTCCTTTGATTAATTCGCTGCTGTACATATTCCGCAAAGTGGATAGTTTGTCGCTTGCATCGGTTGTGAAGTAAATGGGCAGACAAATGGAAAATGTCGCCGTGGGAATATTCAACTGCGCTAATGCGCCGGCGTGTACATTTTATCGGCTGGCGACGTTGTAGGAATATAAAAAATCAATAGTAAATGGATGTGTGTTCCCGGGATAAGTGGTGAGAGCGCGCGAGAGCGGGATTAGCGAATATATATATGGCCATATGTCAGGGCCACATGCTCCGTGTGTGTTGTTTTGGCCCCAAAACACCCTCGCACAAATATCACTCTCTTTTATCAATCGATGCGCATTTTACCCAAATGGCCAGTGCGGGCTTTTTACGCGGTCCGTGTAATTAGTCCGGCATCCGGTTGAGCGCTTGCCAGCTCTCTCCTGCTGTGTTTGCGCACGCATTAACGCGTTCCAGGATTTGTGAGTGAGGATGATGGAGACGGTGGATGATTGTGACTGGTAAATTGACAGTCCTGATTTTTGCACACTGTGGTGTTTGTGTGGGCCTTTTGTTCCTTCCGGTGTTTGTTGGGATTCCGCGTGTTGTGTGTAGGAGTGTGGCCGGGACTGATTGCGTTTCCGGTGGAGAGTGGGTGGTTGTTTTTCGGCGGTTGCCATTAAAAGAATATTTTTTAATAATTTTTTTGGCCGGTTTTGTATTATTTAAAAAATATGGATAATCGTAATAATATTTTATTTACCGGTTTGGTATTGTATAAAAAATATTGATGATCGTAATAATAATTTGATGAAGAAAATGTGGTCTTAAATTTTCAATAGTGTATTTTTATTGTTTCATGGCGGTGGGATCACTGGGATGACAGTTTTTTCATTGTGGGTTTTTGACGATTTGTTTGTTTGTGCAGTGATTGTTACGAAGTGTCGTAGTGGAGTGGCCGTGTCTCGTAACCATCATCGTTGTCGATTCTTTATTCATGACATAAATGCATAAATTCGAAAAATATCGCGTTGATTGAACGTTCATTCATTAGTACGAAATATGAAGTATTCTTTCGCTTTTTGCCCGTTTCATCAATAAACTGCGAATAGGAATTTGCAGTTGAATAATTTTGACTTTCCTGGGAAAAACTGTTGACAACTGGATGTTGCTAGTGCCGATATAGAATGATTTGATTACAAAATTATTTTGGAATAAACTCTTCATCGTTATCGGTGTGTGCATTAGGTCTGCTTGTTTTTCATTCAAAAAAAAATTCCGCCTTGCTAAAAGCTTTCGTATGAAATCATAGCACAAATTGTAATTATGGTGTGACGGACTTCAACCAACTGCATACGGTGTTTAGTACAGGTGTGTCGTAGTGCGATGGCATATGAGCGGTCGTCTAAATCAGATGTTAATGTTTGCTTAGTGAGTATGAAATGATTGTGCTTTGTTAATCGAAATTTACCTTTCCTTTTTACTTTGGTTAGCATCGGTCGAAGAATGACGGTGCAGTAATTCACAGTAAACAGAGTGAAGAGTTGTTGTCTTTAAAAATCGCAATTGGGAAATATCTTTTCGATGATAACTATCTGGGATAATTTTAATGAATGTACTATTTTAATATTTTGTTCTGCATCAGTTTGAGCGTCTCCGGAATTTTCATTTCCGATTTAGAGAAATAATAGAAGCGAAATAATTTCGACGTTTCGTGTAAAACTGGAGAAAAATTGAGTTTTGCGTTCTCTGATAAGTATGGGATAATTGTAATTTTGTAATGAATTAACTATTTCATTTAAATACTGTTTCTGTGCATGTTTGAATTTTCCGAGGTTATTTCTTGTTATATGTATTTAAATTTTTCCTTACAATTTATCGACGTGCCTGCCTGCCTGGACGATTCGTACGTACATACTCGTATTTGTCTTTAAGTCGATATTTTACTGCGCTTTTTGTTCGGGGGCAGTTCCTGATTTCATTAACGCGCGCCCTGATGGTGTTGGTTTTGTGTTCTCGAGTATCATTCGCTTGAAAGAAAGAAACGTTTTATACGCGGAGAGAAAATGCAATAAAAGAAGAAAAGACAGGACCGGAGAAAAGTGCTACTTTCTCCGGTGAAAGAGAGAGCAAGAGAGTATTTTGGATATATATTATTTGCATAATCGATCTGCGTATCGACTGCATCAGAACGCCGGGAAAATATTCTGTATTTAAGCGTGGCCATTGCGTCAATTGAGTAATGCGGACGGCCGTCGATCAAGTGATCTGGCTGATTGAATTTGCACGTCCTGGCTGCTGCAAGACGGGCTGTTGCAACGTCTTGTATAATCGCCAGACACACCAGTCACTTTTTGACAGACTGCTCCCTTTCCCGGGCGTTTTCTTGGCTTTTTAGTGTTTTCTGGCGGATGATGACCGTGATGGGTGTTGCTGGCGGGCGGGTTGTGGCGTGACGGGGATTGGTTCTCACGCTCTGTGATTGTGGGATTTTTTGGGGATTAAATTGTAGTGAAGCCATTTGTTCACCTTCTGCCGATCTAAATCAGCAGTTTATTTTTCTGACTGTTTTTAAAAACATTTGAAGGTATTTTTCGCGCTGTTTGTATACCAGCGGAAAATTTGCAGCGTGTTATTAATTTTCGGTTTTTCTCTTTTCTAAACATTAACAGGAAAGGAGTTTGATAAAATATTAATTCGTTTTTAAATCGTTAGTTTGATAAAACCGCTTTTAATTTTGGCATTCTTTTTTCTTTGTGTATTGTGCGCAAGTTTTCCACATGTAGATTGCCATAATTTGGAGTTAACTTTAGCGATTGTTGCCGTTTTTTTTGTAATAATGATTTAAATAAGTTATCGCCGTTTCTTTATAGAAGTTCGTTAATTTAACAAACTTTCGTTCGATCTTTTCGGCAACGATTTGTTGATTTTTTATGAACTTTGGTTAATTTTCAGTCACATTTTAATTCTTGGCGATTTTTTGATTTTGTGCGCCCATTTTTTACACAGTTCTCTCGCGCGTTTGTTTCTTATACTGGCAATTATTGTAATAAATTAATGTTGTTAATTATTAGCTTTTATATGATTAGAAATTTGCGATTGAAATGAACAGTCATATATGTGGGAATAATTTCCTTTTTTGTTGCATTTTCTGCGGGATTTATTTGAAGAACTTCTGAATAATTTTATTATTTTCATTCAGGGATTCCTCAGCGCAGACCGACACCCCCCACCACAACCACCACCACCCCACCATGCCCTCCTCCCCGCCGCTCCCCTCGACGGACCGCACCCCCCTCGAACCGGCCCTGGAGATGGAGGAAGAGGGCGACGAAGAGTCCATGTACCTCTTAAACAGCGACCCCGACCTGGACAAGACCCCGCCCTCCCGTCTCCTGGCCCCCCGACGCCCCTCAGCCCCCCTGGCCGCCCACGAGCTGATCGAGGGGGTCCTCTTCCGCTGCGCGTATCTAGGCAGTACCCACCTCTTCTCCGACACCCGCCCCACCAAGGCGTCGCGATTAACGCAGGCGCAGGAAGCGGTGACGCGGATCAAGGCCCCTGAGGGCGAGTCGCAGCCCATGACGGAGGTGGAGCTGTTTATCTCCATTGAGAAGATCATGGTGCTCAATGTGGATGTCCGGGATGTGCTGATGGATCATCCGCTGCGGACCATCAGCTACATTGCCGACAGTGAGTGATTAGGCGGGTTATTTTCCTGCGGAAATTGGTTCGCTGTATTTCTCAGTGTTTTTAAAAATTGAATAATATATTTTAGGAATTGTTTTCGGTATTTCTTTTAAAAATGCGCAGCAGAATTTTGCTTAATCGGATTTTAACATTTTATATCTTTGCTAGTTTCAATTTCAGGTTTTTCTTTTAATTTTAAGACAGCATATATTTTGTCAAATTGTTTTGGATTTCAAGAGTTTATATTTTTTATTATGTTTTTCGTTAGTCGATTTTAAGGCTTTTTGTCGTGCATTTTTTGAAAATATATGGCAGGATGTTTTTGCTCAATTTATTATCTACGTTGCGCTGATAGACGTTGCGCTCAATTTATTATTGCGCTGATAGACGATCTTCAATAAAAAAAAATATGAAATGTCTACGTGATATTGCCATTTATTCTGCTCGACTCGAATTCCAGTTCCAGTTCGACTCGCTGCTATGGATTTTTGATGTGTACTGCCCTTGTTCTACGCTATAATCGATATATCATTGTGGCTAGTTATAACCGTCAAATTTGAAAAAAAATCATTTTAATTTGTGATGGTTCGTTATTGTTGAAAAATACTTTTAAATTTTAATGATTCATTGCCAATTACTATGCCACGGGATTGCTAAAAATAAACAACAGTTTTAACGAAATCATGCAACGTATAATTGAAAAAAGCGATAATAAATTAATTAAATAACAGGTGAGCGACATAACTGTGACAAAACAGTCTAAATAGTTGAATATGGAGAGCGGTAGTGACTGGGTGATTTGATTGGTGTTTTTCATGATATTAGTTGGGGATCTGGTGGTGCTGATGGTGAAGCGCGGCCTGGAGGATCTGCACTGTGATGCGGTGATTCGCTCCACCCAGCCCAAGATGCTCTGCCATGTCTTTCAGTCCGACGAGGTACTTTGCAATTGTACGATAAACCGCTTTTTTTAATTAATTTACTAACAAACCTTAACTTTAATTATTCTCAAGTATTCACACCAAAATTATTCTGTGCCGGTTTCTTTGTCAGTAATCAATTTTAGAAATATTAGTAATTTGTTTGTGTAATGTATCGTCTTTGTGTGTGTGCAGCGGTGACATATGCAATATCACAATAAATTTATATAATGGAAAAAAATTAATTAAAATGTGTATGTACTTGTATTTGCGCAGATTTATTGTCACACTACAATTATTACAGAAAATAGTATTAAACCAGTCTGTCTTTAAAAACAGGGTGGTTTAAAATAGTATTAAACCATTCTGTCTTTAAACCAGGGTGGTCCAGCCAAGTGTGGGCAGTTGCATAAAATAAATGTAAATTTATTTCTGAAACTAGTTTTGATATTTATTTTGAACTTTACTTATGTAATTTTTTACTGCGGATTTAGCGAAAATGAAACCCGGATCTTTCAACGTGTCAGTAAGGGACTGGGTGGAGCTTAATGATGGAGGGTAGCGGGCAGTTTGAGAAGGCTAATACCTGCCTTTCTAAAAACTTCAGGAAGTGATATTTTTGTATGGGCTTTTTTAAAAAGTTTTGAGTGACCCAAAAGGTGTTCTCTATGGGTAAGCAAAAGAATCTTGTCCTATCCATGCTCGTCGTAAAATGAAAAAAAGATCTATCGCCCATAGACTTGTATGTTAAAGACAACCATCCGCAGAAAGTGGATGCCTAGAGCACTGTTAGCTTCGGTCAAGATATCTATATCTGAGAGGAAGCTAGGAAGGCACTATCAAAAAATTACGTTATCGCTTGTCAGTTATCAGACGACTGAAATTTTCTAAAAATTATTGACTGAACACGATTATTACGTGGTAAGCAGCGCGTTTTTTTCGGGAAAATCAAAAGTAATACTTTGATTCCCGTTGGCTGCTCTTCAGCTTTTTGCAATAAAACTCTATTAAGCAAGTTGCTCTATACCAAGAGCTACCATGGAAAAAAAAAACATAAAAATTTTAGAGCTCAATGGTAGCGGTTGAGTAAATTTTCTCACTGCCCACACTTGGCTGGACCACCCTGTACTTACTGTATATCGGTGTAATTGTTGTGGTAAATTTAATTAATTGTATTAAGACAGTATGTAGCCATCAGAAAAACTACAAGTTGTAAGCGCGGGCAGTGGGCACACTACCCGTACTTTACATTCAAAATTAATAATAATTACTAAAATAGTGATGTGATTAAAAATTTAATTGTGAAATAATGTAAAAATAATACAGTATCAATCAGCGATGATGTGTGCAGGCGTCGGTGATTGCTCAGACGATCGGGAACGCCTTCCAGGTGGCCTACATGGAGTACCTGAAGGCCAACGGCATCCAGGATGAGCGCTATCTCCGCCACCTGGACTACTTGGAGGTGCTCAACAGCCAGGAGATGTCCACGCACGAACTGGAGCTCTTCGCCTCCAAGGACAAACAGAACAACGTACGTCGCCCAATTTTCCTAAAATTTCTGTACGAATTCCATTTACTGCCTGTAAAAAATTGGCAAGGGTTTTTGTACATACCGAAAGTTTGCTTTTGAAAAATGCAGACCAATAGTACGCTTCTGTAGTTGACAGTGTTATGGTGGATCGTGTAGTGCAGTGACATCTATTTATTTCGCTAGACACCGTCATATCGATGTCATGATGGCGTATCTGAGTAAATAAATATTTGCCATTTGTGGTACAAATTAATATTGATATGCATTATGTTTTTCAGTAATTCGAAATTAAAAGAATACCGTGGGTTTTGTGAATTTTTTATGACGGGAAAACAAAGGGAAAACCACTTGGAAGAAAATTTGAATTTAAAACAACGAATGCTTCGAAAGTTCCTCTAAATGTTTTGTTTTATAAATGGCAGCTGCCTCCGGTGCGCGGAAAGTTTTTCGTATTTTCAGCTTAAACTTCCTAGCAGGTCGGCCATAGAATGCAACTGCAACCACCGTTGGTTTTCGGTGAAAAAAATGTAACTTATAATTGTTCTGTATTTTTTCCAAAACTTGGAACACATAACATGTAGAAATGCCGAACAACATGTTGTGGATATCGTAGTGCGATGTCACGTAGCGCGATGTCACGCTTTTGCTGACAACTCGTTTAACTGACGTGTGCTTTATAATAAACTGTACAAACGAGCGTTTTCCGTGGATATGTAATAATACAATTATATACAAATTTTTTCCTAGAAGGAATAAATTGAAGAACTAATTATAAATTGTGATAATTATAAACTGTGATGGAATTACGTCATATTTTGTAAATCCAGTTACATTTTTTACCCTTTAGGAAAGGGTAATTTATGAAATTATATTATAATTTGTTTGCGAGTTGACCGAGAAATGGAGAAAACAGTGCTATTAAGCTTTCCTGGATGTCAGTGATCCTGAAAACATTTTTTCGTCGGAAAGCAAAATAAATCCCAGAAATCCCCATAAATTGTAATTAAATTAGGTGATAATTTCTCCATTGCACATTTAAAATCATTTTAATTTAAATCTCAGTTTATCAAAAACGGAAAATAAATAGAATAAGGTAAAACAACCGGAAAGGATCGTAAATGTTGTCCCGAAAAAAAGGTGAAAATAAATAATAATAAAATATAATAAAAATGCATAAATAGGAATAAAAAATGATGGATGGATTGTAGGTGGTGATTCCCAAGTCCAAGGGGGAGATCCTGGGCATGGTGATTGTGGAGTCGGGCTGGGGCAGTATGCTGCCCACGGTCATCATCGCCAACATGTGCCCCACGGGACCGGCGGCCCGCTGCGGGAAGCTCAGCATCGGCGACCAGCTCATCTCCATCGACGGCATCAGTCTGGTCGGCCTGCCGCTGGCCCACTGCCAGAACGCCATCAAGGTCAGTGCAAGAACACGGCGGACACTGGAACTGGCGTGTTGCGTGCGTTATGTTGCCAATAAAAATCCTGATAAAAATTAAAACAATATAAAAAATAACAATGATTGCTAAAAAAATATTTGCTAAAAAAAATAAAATAAATCCAAGACATAGAGGCGATTGTTCGTCATTAGATTAATATTGTGTAGCAAACAAGTGCGATTGTACATTTGTATTCCCAGCGTTATTTAGTGGTTTTGTTTTAAATGTTCGGTATTTTTCTTGTTTTTTTCTTTACTCTTATTCGTCGCAGAATAATTACAAAATTTGGCGATTTTTGTCACAGTTGTATAAAATTAGTTTTTTTTTGTACTGTACTGTACTGCAAAATTTGTCCAAAATTTTGCGAATGTTCTTTACTTGATACAAATTATTCCATTCATTATTCAGTTTTATCGAGTTTTGCAAATTTTTTCACGGATTGTTGTTAAATTGTTTTCCGTTTATAGAGAAATATCTATGGTTACATTTTCCTAATCACGCACTTTGCTGTGCGTGCCGGCAGACGACAGCTGGAAAATCCGGCACAGGCAGCTGTATTTAAATATTAGAGGAAAATGTTCCCTCTTAATTTAGTAAAACAAACTACTTTTTTGTTGATGCAAGGCACCGTATTTAATGAGAAAATTATTCGGGAAAAAACGGTTGCGAATTGAACATAAAGTAATAAAGTTTCTGCATTAAATAAAAAAATTTAAAAACCAAGAACATACTTCACTGAAGAAGAAGAAACGATGGCGCCTGGAAATTGTTGCAAAATAAATGGGAAAATCTGATTTATGTCTGTTACGTACAACAGCATCCACAACTAAGCGGTAATAAGACTGCGGCCTAACCGGTAATTAACATCAAGTGGCGAGTCTTGTATGGTAGCAGCGTAGTGCAGTGAGTAAGCGAATGTGTATGGCTTTAACCGTTTGGCGGATGCGATTTACAATGAATTACGACTATGATCTTAAATACAAACAAATACTTTTTTCTAAACTGAGAACCATAGACCAGATGCGTTTGGTAGAAGTTTATGGGATGATATCCTGTTTACCGTAGAATTTGTCAAGTATTTTCGATACTTCTACTTCTCTATATTTTGTTTGTTATATTAATTATTTACATTATATTATTATTTATATTATTTGTTTATTTATATTTATTTATATTATTTATTTTCATTTATTTATAATTAATTAATTATTTATATCAATCGTGCAAATTTATTATGGGCTTTATCGAGTTGTTTTCCAGTTGTTACAAAATGTGTACAAAATTTTGCGAATTTTCACGTGGATATTTTATTAAGTATGGCAGGTTTTTCCTGACACGGGTTTGGATGTTTGCAGAACGTGAAAAATCACACGGTGGTGAAGCTGACGGTAGTCGCCTGTCCGCCGGTGGTGGAAGTGAAGATCAAACGCCCGGACACCCGCTATCAGCTCGGTTTCAGCGTGCAGAACGGCATCATCTGCTCATTACTACGCGGCGGCATCGCCGAGCGCGGCGGCATCCGCGTCGGCCACCGCATCATCGAGATCAACAACCAGAGCGTCGTCGCCACCAACCACGACATGATCGTCAACATGCTCGCGCATTCCGTCGGCGAGATCCAACTCAAGACCATGCCCTCGTCCATCTTCCGCTTGTTAACGGGACAAGACATCCCGGTGTATATTTAACCGGAAAACGGGGATTTTTCCGTCGACCCCTAATTTTTGCGGAATTGTGCCAGCCAAATGAGATTTTTTTGCGAAATTTTTATTACTGAACCAATCAGCGAGTTTTGCTGAATTTTTCCCGTCAACCGGCGATTTTTGCGCGATTTTTTCAACCAGTTGAGGAATTTATTTGCCCACCCGATTGCCAATTTTTGCAACATTTTCCAACCAATCAGCAATTTTTTGCAGCAAAAAAACGGTGATTTTGCGGCATTTTTCCCGTCAAACGCCGATTTTTCCGGCTGCGAATTATTTTGCCAACATTTTCCGATTTTCTCCGATTGGAAATTTTTTTATCGATGCGTCTTCGACCGAAAATATTATTTCTGGAGCGTTTCCACAGTGCCGGAAGCGTAGAATCTCTTCCCGAAGTTTTCGGCGGGTTTTAAGGAATTTTAACTGTGTTTTAACGGGGTTTTGTCTTGGTGGTTTTCTTCTTCGATTTTCTCAATGAATTTTTGTCTCAAGAATGATCAAACTAGTCACGCGGGCAAGCGACAAGAGAGGTGTTTATTTCGGCGGGGTTTTGGCTTTCATTTTGTAAGGTTCCTTCTGATTTTTCGGTCATTGTTCTAACCGAAAAAAATGGTTCGGATTTTTAGCTGATTTTTATTATTCTCCGCTGAAGGCGTTCTGGTTTGTTAATTCGTATACAAAGTACGAGGTATCTGCATGATTAATATTGAAGCGCTGCATGCAGAGGACGCAGGAAAAAATAGATTCAAAATCTGAGGAAGAATTAAAACCGGATTTGTGGAAATGGAAATTCACTTGACTGCAGACAAATGTGGCATGAACAGAAAAAATAATTCTAAAAAATAATAGAAATAGCAAAATTAAAAACATAATAATTAACCATTGATCGTCCAGGATTGTCGCGAAGTTTAATACTATCCTTCACAGTTCCGTGCCGTTTTCCATGCGATTCATCATGAATTACCGGTAATTACTGTACAGGGTTTCGGCTAAATTTGCCGATTATTCCATATTATTTACAATCAGGCTGGAATTTTTAGAAAAATACTGTTACTATTGCCGAATGCCGATAAAGCGATAATACGCGCACACGCAAGCTAACACGTTGAACCATGTCATAGTGCAGTGGCTGCAGATTCAGCGAAAAAAGTCAAATGCGGCTACGTAAAAGTTATATGAAAGGTCGCCTTATGCGTGAGGTGTACCGTATACGCATGGTGTACCGTTTCAGGTTCATGGGAGTTTTTTTTTAACGGGGATTTTTCTTGGTGGTTTTTTCTTCGACTTTCTCAATGAATTTTTGTCTCGACAATGATCAAACTAGTCACAGGGAAACGACATGAATGGTGTTTATTTCGACGGGGTGTTGGCTTCAATTTTTAAATTTAAATTATTATTTATTAAATGATTGCATTATTATTTATAGTAATCATAATTTTTATGATTTATTAAATTATCATTAATTTGGTAATGAGATTATTACTTTTCGGTCAATAACCGGAACCAAATAAATGGCTAAATTTTTTTCTGATTTTTCTTATTCTTGCGGAAGACGCTCTGGTTTGTTAATTCCGTATACAAAACACCTGCACGGATTAATTAATGTTAAAGCGCTGTATGCACAAGATACAGGAACAAATAAATTCAGAATTTGGAGAAGAAATTAAAACAGGAACTTTGGGAATGAGAATTCGCTTGACTGAAGACAAACTTGTGGCATCCACAGGAAAACAGCAGCTGTGCGTTTATTCAGCCTAATCCGTGATCATCCAGTAATCCTTGCGGGGTTTCATCCTAAACAAAAATAACAGTTGCCAATTATGCCACTCTATTTTGTCTAACAAGTAAAATAAATTCGTAAGTTATTTTAACCATTCAACGATTAACGCCTAAAAGATGCTAAAGAAAAGGGAAAACACCTCTTAAAAAATGAAATTCTGTTAGTAATTACGCCGTTTAATTTGGCTATATAATGAAGTTATTTGTTAACCTATTTTACTACGCAGACCGAAATCAAACAGTATTTTTTTTCGAGCCTAGTCCCTTTAAAGCGGCGCTGTTTCCCGTTGATGCTGAAGTTATTTTAAAAGTTGTAAATTTTCTATATTTCCCACTGGACACGATTGTCCAGAGAAACCGAAATAGCGGCACTGTACTGTAGCCGCTGGATGAAGTGGCTCCACAGAGTCTGGTATACGGGAAAATGCAGGCCCAATATACACACATTGCTCCGTGCAGAATTGTGTTTGATTTCAAACAATTTTCACTCTGATGCTGACGTTCTACATGTTTTACTGAGTTTCTTAATTTTAGCAACGTACGATAATTATTGTAAGAGCATAATGTCACAGCTAGGATAGTTTCCGATTTATAAATCTGGTTTGTTGTGGTTTTTGGGGTGCCCCTGGCAGGGGCAGAACAGTTAATAACAGTACAGTACTAATATCGAAAAGCAAAGTGCGCGCCTCCCAGTGGGAGGAAGGCTCGTGCTCAATGCCCGGCCAGGTGCAGGCAGCGGGCGGATCTAAAAGTGGAGCCACTTCATCTAGCGGCTACAGTAATTAAATTAATTTTACGAAACAAATCACTGATCAGACCGTACGTACCACATATGCTATGCTCAGTACTAACCGATGTAGAACAGTGGCATTAGGGGGATACCAAAAAACACCAGAAATAGGTTCACCCGTCACCGTAAGCTCAAATAAATTGTACAACGGTTTAGTAATTCAAGTTTTTACTTCCCGATAAACGTAAAATAAAAGTACGTTTATTAGCTGGATTTCTGTTTTACAAAAATTTCCCGAACTTCTTAAATAATTCCAAATTCCAGTTACATTATTTCTGCCAACTGCACCTACGCGCGCTGCAGAAGAAATCATTGACTGGTTATGAAGTACGCAGCGGCGACAAAAACTGGATGGCAATTATATCAGTACCAATCCGATTTTTACTTCAAAATTTACCTTTTTATGCGGCACATCAAACATTATTTTATCAAATTAAATATAATAATATAATTTATTAATAATGCAGTAATTATGTTATCCCGACCACTGTGTTAAAATTCTTATTTTTCATGGTAATTAAAGACAAATTATTCCGCCATCAAATTAAAATCACAATCTTTGGTCATAATTACATAAATATAGATTATTTATTCTAATTTTTTATGTTTTATAACAAAAACATTTTCCCGCAGCAATATTGGTCTAAACTATTATTTAAAAAAATTTCTCTTTCCCGTGGCAATTAAATACAAATTCTTCCGTCTATCAATTAAAATCACCGTCTTCGGTCGTAATTAATTAGAAATTAATGTATAATAACTATTTCTAATATATAAGAAAAATCAATTCCCCACAAAACCACGCCCACCTCCTGGAGGATATCCTGCGCCGCGACGGCCTTGAGGACGTTCTTCTTGCTGGTCTCCTGCACTTCGCCGGCCAGGATGAACTCGTCCAGGATGAAGTAGGCCTTCTCGAAGTTGAAGATAATGTCCAGCTCGCACACCGAGCCAAAGTATTTATCCAGCAGCTCCACGTAGCGGTGGATGATCTCCAGGGTCAGCAGTTCATTATCCGTCGACTGCACCGCGCAGCAGAAATACAGGCTGGCATATCTGTCACCACAAAATACACATCCGGTTATTTATCAAATTGTAGGCGCATTATCTGCGCTGTTGACAGTAGCTAAGAAAAACACCCGCAAAACTCCATGAGAAATTTATTTATCAAAACTAAAATAATAGCCCGAAATCACATTTTTTAAAAATATAAAATCCATGAAGAATTAAATTATGAAAATATAAACAATAAACCAAAAGAATTATTTATGGAAAGTTAAATTGTAGGCGCGTTATTAAAGCTGTTGACAGTAGCCAAAAAAAATATCCGCAAAAATCCATGGGAGTTTATTTACAGAAACTAAAATAAAAGTCGGAATCACATTATTTAAAAAAAATCAATGGAAAATTGAATTATGAAAATAAAAACAATCAACCAAAAGATTTAGGCATTTATGAAAAGTTAAACTGTACTTGTACGCGCATTATTAGAGCTGTTGAATCTTGTTTCTTTATTTCGATTCGTAGATATGACAGTATTAACCAAACACTACTGCTACAAAATTAGGAAATGTTGAAAGCAGCCAAGAAAAAAAACAAGCGCAAAGCTCCATCAGAAATTTACCGAAACTAGAATAATATCCCGAAATTAAATTATTCAAAATAAATCCATGGAACGTTAAATTATGAAAAATAAAAACATGACAATTCTAAAAAACCGACAATAAAAAATAGTATCGCCATGATGCTGGAAAATTGTATGGAAAGAAACTCAGCGGACCAAATAAAGACGCTAGACAACTCACATTTACCGAAGCATCGTAGAGTACTGGCTACTGATTTGCTCATTCCATTTATTGACAACACAAAACCGCTGACGAGTGACGACTACTCGAGTAATAATCCAGTTTACAAACAGAATATTCCCTTAAAAATTCTACAAAACTTTTTTTGTGTAAAAACATAAATCAAAAAAAATTTCAATAGTAGTTCTGCACTTTTTACTTTGACTTCATATCTGTAATTTGCTCTATAAATAACGCGGTGACTACTTACTTTATTAAAAAATAAAAATCCAATTTAATTTGCGCGAATAACATAACGGATGCTCTCTAAATTCTGTACTAGATCGCCCCATAGTAAAGCAAGTAAAGCAGTATACAGAATATAAACCCCTCGCGCCGCATTCAATAAAATTTTTCAAAATTTTACTGCGTATCGACAACATCGTGCAGTCTCTACTTCATCCTGATGGAAATTGATTATTTTACCGTTTCCAGAAAAATAATAAACAACGTAAAGTGCATGAAAATACTGCGCAACCTCCGCACGGGGAAAACGTACCGTTTATAGATGACTTTGAGATCCTTCCATTCGAGAATGTTGCTGGTTTTGGATTTGCGCTGCAGGATGAGATTGATCAGCTCGCGGGACACTTTCCGCTTCTGCTTCTCCTCGTACGACGCGTACCATTTCTGCAGGCGCAGTTTACCTTGCCGACTGAACAACAGCAGGAACTGAATCTATCAAACGACAGAAAATGACAAATCTGTCAATCAACAACACACGCGCAGCTGGCAAAACATGTTCAAACACGAATCATGCACAGCAGTATCGACATTCGAACTGTACCATTTTCTGGTAATCTCCACGCAATTCCACGAGATTCACTGATGAACATCACAGCTTAAACGCCAAAAAAAATTCCCAATTATTTTTTGTAGGTCAGAAACAAAAGTTTGGAAGACGACTTCCCATGAAACTCGGCCCAAGCTTCAGGCAAAAATTCTGCGAAGAATTTCGCTGAGTTCGCAACACGGAAAAACACGGTGGCGTGCCGTGACGAGGCACATGTCGGTGGCGTGCCGAGCTGTGTTTTAAGGGAATTTCGATTTTCTCAAGTATTTCAACCAAAAACTAACGAAAAATGTGCGAGCACTACTTTTTAAAATTTAAATTTGAATAAACTTTAAAAAATCAAAAACAAATCTGTAGTATTTAATTCCAGGAGAACGATTCCGGCAATAATTAGGAAGTTTGCAGTAGTATGTTCCCAAGTAACGATGTCATCGCGGCGACACGGCGACCCACACTCCACACCCGTGAGAACGCTGATCCGCGTTGCGGGGTTCCTGGTTAAATGGTGCGTACTCTACACTGTCAGTCGTATTCTCTGCTGGAACTATATTCTGCCTGGATTCCTCGTACTCCTCACTGAAATGCACAGTCTGCACCGGGCGTGTCGTCGCGCCATTTACAAACTAGATACCACCATCACCGATCCCATCCAGGTGCAGATCCGCGAGTGCACCAGGTACGTATCGGGCGTACGTACAGCAGAAAATCCCCATTTCGTTGGGCATTGATTTATTTATCCTAAGTCGGAAAAATATTCAAGAAGAACCGCTTGTGATAATTTTTTATCAAAATTCATGTCAAAACGACATTTGTATGCGTACTAGTACGTACTCTACAGAGGTACGTGCGACTTACGAGTACTTACTTGGCAATCGACCTAACTACGAGGTATGAATACTAGAAGCAATATTTACGTAATGCAAAAGTACGTAATGCTGGCGTTTTTGGTAAATAAATATTTTTCTTTTTAATTTGCAACCTTCTTTGCTGAATTTTATACTTTTCATATTTAATGGAGTAATGTGATGATGTCGGTTATGATTGTGACAGAATTCCGACGGACTAATATACCGCTTATATAACAAATAAATGATCAAATTTAAATTGCTTTAAAAATTAGAGCAAAAATGTTCGTAAGAAACATAAACTGTTTGAAATTACAACTACGTATTTACAAACTTCTGAGAAAATATTCAGCGTAGCAGCAACTATGTATTTAACGTCTTCGGTTTCTTACGGGTTATAGCCCCTGCTCTACGAATTTTTGTTAACCATGTTAAATTAAAGATGCGTTCCTATTTGGTTGGTCATGAAGTTTTATACGATTGGACTGGAATTCAGTTAAAAAAATAAATCAGTGAATAAAAAGTCACAGATATTAATCACTTCAAGTTCACACTGAAAAATTAGAGGCCGTAAAAGTTAATCAGTAAAATTATAAAGGATTATAAAATGTTTCTTAACTTACTAGAAAGTTTTATTACTTTATTTAATTTAGAAACAGCTATAAAGTAAAGGACAAAAGATTGAATATTCGTTCAAAACAGAAAAATTTCTTCGAACTTACTTTTTTGAATTAGTACCGACCCGTGGGGCCCGACCGCCGCCCAGATGGCGGAGATCGCCGAAGCGGCCGCCACGCGCTCCCCGTTAATTTTGTCTGAGATCTGGTTCCGTTTGGACGAGGACAACTGGAAGCACGTGTATAAAGCTTTAGTCCTGTTGGACTACCTGATCAAACACGGCCCGGAGAGTGTGGCCAAGCAGTGCTGGATGAACGTGGACCGGTTGCGGGAGCTGCGCAGCTATCCCTTCGTGGAGGCCGACGGGAACCCGGCGCGCCGTATTCGCGAAAAGGCCGGCCAGGTCCTGGGTCTGATGGCCGACGCGGGGCGGTTGACGGTGGAGCGGGAGAAGGCCCGCCGCATCCGGGAGCGGGTTCAGTACAAGGATCGCGAGTTTCACGAGTTCTTCCACGGAATCCCGCCTGACCTTTCTAATCCGCAGATAAAGGGGACGGTGTGCGGTAAGAGCGTAATTACGCTCTTTTTAATTAATTAAAAAGAGCGGCATGCTGTTAATATTATTTTTTACTATTCTTATTTTGTTTCAAGTTCAGCGATATCGGTTATTGGATCGTGCAGTTTTTTGTTATTGATTTTGTCATAATTTAAATAATTTATAATAAATTTACCGATGTTATACAAAATGCATCAGATTTTTTTATGATTAATTTTTGATATTATGCTGACTGTTATTTGAAAAAGATGTTAGTGTAATAATATTTTCTATAATTTTTTGATTACATATTTTAGAGTTTTATTTACTAACTGCTTTGTTTCTGTTGTACATAATTTCGCCGCTGTAAAAAAGCACATAAATGTGTATTTTTAAAGTTTTGGTTTTCACTTTCGTTGTTACGAAGAAAAATAAGATTCGGAAAATAAAAACTGAATTAATTCTTGATCACTGAGCAAAAACGAATGATTAATTCCGAAATATTTCAAACAGTACATCCGAAAAGGTTTTTTTGCAATATATCAGCCGTATTTGAGGATAAAAAAGCTTTTCTAAATTAACACAATTACTGGTCACCTGTTGTACTGTAGCTGGCTAATCGATGCTCAGAAACTAATAGCCACTGCTCTACAATGTACAGTGTACACTGAACTTGGTAGTTAATCATTGTTAAAGCGGTTGTGATTTTCCGTTAAAAGAACAAACTGCATGGCTTCTGTCGATTAGGCTTTCCGTGATCTTTGTTACCGAATTTTTAATGCTTTTGCAGAAGCGGCCACCGGCGACGCGTGCTGTAGTGTCCTGCAGCCGCGCAGCGAAGAGGAAGAAGCGCTGCACTTGCAGCTCGCTCTGACCGCCAGCCAGAAAGACGCCGAACTGCGACATACCGAACAGCACCTTCCCGGCTCTCCCGTTCCGCTATCCCCGGATTTAATCGATCTTTCGGCACACCAAGCACACGGCGATCTGTGCACGCCCAGCGGCGATGACAGCGACGGCGGCGCCTCCAAACGCCGATTGATCATCCCACCGGCACAATTTTTCTGCACGCTGGGTTTGGGCGATTTGGTGACTGAGCAAAAGGTCTTCGAAACGAATAATGACGGGTTGGGAGGGCTTGAGGCGTGGCTTAATTCACGGTGACCTGTTGCTGGTTAGAACTCTGCGTTATTAAAAACTCTGCGTTATTAAAAATAAAAATAGTTAAACGAAGGAAAAGTATTGATTAGCACATGATGACCTTTACTAATCTAAATTGGAGGAATAGGGAATAATTATTCCGCCGCGGGACAGTTTTTCTGCCTTCAGAGACTTGGTAATTTTGTGGCTGAGTTGAAGGTTTTCAAAACGAACAACGACGGACTGGGTGGGCTAGCGGCGTGGCTAAATTCAAGGTGACCTTTATTATTGCATATAATTCTGCGTCATTAAAAATTATCTAAAATAAGCGCAGTAACAAGATTGATTAAGAAACGGTGACCTTTAATCAGGAGTAACAGGAATAAGACATGTAGAAAATGTTGGACAATCTAGACGGAATACGCCGGTGGTTCTTCGTGGCGTTCCTCTTCCGCTTGTGCGTCATAGGTGGGCGGAGGCGGGGTGATGGCCGTGTCGGGCTCCGTGTCGACGACGACGTGGCCCTGTAGAATGCCGGTCAGCCATTTCTGCTGACGGGCATCGCGCAGCAGCCGGGCTTTCTCTTCCCGGATGAACAGCATGGTCAGGCAGAAGATACGGATAAAATATAACTGTGCAAGAAATTAGAAAATTGTTATTACACGGCAAAGTATAGAATAAAAAAAATGGAATCTCTAAGAAATGCATGCAATAAATATCAGTAATTACGGGAAATTGTGATGCTATACTTATGCTTGGCGGTTTTCCTGCGGCTTACCTTGACCAGGATGATAAGAACAGCGGCCATCAGCGCCCAGATGTGGATGTTCTGGTACCAGTGCTCCGTGTCGCTGCCGTCGTCTTGGATCAGTCCGCGCTGTAATTGCAAAACAATGAAACATAATTTTATTATAACGTTATGATTTTGCATAACGTCAATGATGGTGCGCATTAGAAATGCTTTTGCTACAGTACAGACCACGCAAAAAACGCAGATATCCCAACAATTTTAGCAGTGTTACATAAAAATCAGAATCACGATTCGAAGATTGCACCGGTAAATAATATTCATACGGTTTTACAAAATGATATACGAATTTACGTACAGTAAAAACTCTTCTATAACAAAAACGATGCGCTAGAACAACATTTTCTAATGTTGTATTCTGTCGTCTGCTGTCAGCTGTTGGTGTGCCAAGGAGGGTTGGATAATGCAGCTGAATGTGTCTAATTCGAAGTGTTTTAATTACAGTGTATAAGTGTTGCGATTGCGAAAATATTGTAGACGACTAGACATACAGTAAAACTGTTTGCTAAACACTTAATACGCGTACCAATTTGCGCAGCGCCGCCGAATCCACATATCCGTACACGTCCCATCCCGAGATATAGATGGTGGAGAAGATAATGTCCAGAATGTGTCCCACCAGAAACGGGATGATCAAGGACGGAGCACCCTACCGAAAGGTCACCAGTTGAAACATCATACCATACTTTATATATAATCTGAGAAATGTTTTTATGACAACATGCATTAATAAAAAAATAAGGCAGAATACGGAGCTGTGATGCGGGCGCACCCGGAGAACTCCGATAATGGCCGTCAGCGCCGTTAGTCCGCTGACGCTGCTATACAGGAGAGAGTAAAGCAGCTGGGTGTGGTTGAGCGTCAGCGGTTCGGCCGGGACGACAAGAAACACGGAGATGAACTTGGTGACGTTAACGTTCAGCGTGGATTTGGCCAGCAGGACCTCCTCGGTGTCGGCGGTGTCGTTGTTGTCCTCGGCCATCTCCACGCGTACCACCTCACGGATGAAGGAGCGCTCCGTGTGGGTGGGGCCCAGAGCGGTCAGCTGGGCGGAGCGATGGTGAAAGGTCACGGCCAATAAGTGTGTTAAGATGCACATCACCATCAGGTTGGCGACCTGCGACAAATATTGCTAACATAGTGGATTCTAATTGGTGGATTGGTTTGCGACAACAAAAAGGTCACTTTCGTTAATATCGTTATGGAAATATTATTTTAAAAAATTGTTTAATCGCGCAATACTCAGTTCCATTCAGTTAGTTACATATTTAAATTTTATCTAACTACAGCTATAAACTAAACGTGCGGCAAGTAAATAATAATTATTTACGAAATATATATACTTATTTTAGAATTTATAAGGAATAAAACCAATTTGTTGGAAAAGCATTAAGGCAGCCAATTACAATTTACAGTGCAAAATGGTTAATACAAAAAATAAACACCATCGCTATAAAAATTCTTAAATAAAGTATGTTTGGAAAATAAACGCGTTAGATAGTTAGAAGACATTATACTACTAAAAACCTTCATGACGGTTTTTCTATAACACCCCCTTTGTACTTCTCGTTAAATTTCGTTAATAATTTTTGAGTTCTTTGAAAAGTAAATGTAAGTTAGAGAAATGAGAAAAAAACAGAAAGTTCAAGTTTTACGTTAAAAACTTGAAAGTCAGTATGACATACGACGTGGCTGGTGAAGAGCGCCAAGGATAAAGTGCGGACATGGAGACAGCCGAAGCACTGGTAGTAGGACTGCGGACGCGAGCGCATGATGGAGTTGACCGCGTTGATTAGGTGTATAGTGAGGAGTACGACAAAATTTTTTAACTAACTTTTTCTTTCTTAGTTTAAAATTGTGAATAGAGTAAGAAGGAACGCTTAATAATTGGGCTGAAATGCGTACGTACTCGTAACTTGCAGAACCTGTAGAAATGAACGCTATTTGCTCCCTTAACCTTACCAGGTTGGTTGCTATGGGAATTGTGCAAGCTACACATGAAAGACCTAATTTTCATGAATAACTACGTATTTAAATTATTTTATGCTAAACAAATTTTGATAGGAACTCGCACAGATTTAGCTAGACACGTCAGTAGGTACAGATTTAGCTAGACACGTCAGTAGGTACGAGTCAATAAAATTTTTGAATACGTAATGTTATTGAATCGATGAGGCAAACGCGACAATTCTTAAAAAAATTCATAGAATATTAATATAATAATTAAAATTTATTATTACTGCAAGAAAATCACACAGATACCGAAATCATTCCGTTGCAGCCAGCCAACTGCCAAGATGTCTGTTTGCATAAGGAGACCTACAGTGCACGAAAAAAAGAAGTTGATGAGGCGCGACCGCAACTGGCTGGTCGATTTCAACTTCTCTTTGTCGTCCATTGTATGTGCCGTTTTTGCTTAAGAGCAGCATGCGAGTGTTTATGCTGCAGCGCAATTTTGTGCGGGATGTCCGGCATCACCCCAGCGGCCACCGTCAGACAGCTGTGATTATCATTCTCAGTAGCGAAAGGCGGACCTTGAATACGGATGAGCAATAAACCATTTCAAGTAGAATTACGCTGGTGCACCTTCTTTTTACTGTGTGTTTATTCGACAAAGGCACCAATGTAATACTGTACGATTCTCTAATGTAACGATTCTCTAATGTACATCTTACTGATGGTATTTATCTGTACGACTGAACAGCAGTCATACTCCATAAGAAAACGAAAAAATGTCGCAAGCGCATATTCGCCCATCAAACTGAGGACAACCAATAAACATTATAATTTCAAAGCTAACTTAAAATACCGCAATCAACCTTCGTACAGCCTAGACTGGGACACAGGCCGTCTCATTCCGCAATACGAGACTGTTTCTTAGCACTTGCTTTTCCCTCGGCAAACACCGAGTATTTTTGTAATGATTCTTTCGGGGGTTTAGATGGAGAAATACTAATCTGGCTTAAACCGGTAAACTCTTCTATAGGAGCCAGCGTATGTTCCGGTGTCCACAGTTCTTCGGCGGCTTGCCGCGCTGCATTGAAATCCCCTCCGCGATCGGCCATGAACTCCACCATTTTGTCTCCACGGATTATGATGTACTGAATCTGTCCCTGAACGTTGGAAAGCGCGCTGTGCAACAAATTTGGTATTAATTTAATCCTGATTAATGTATGTATGGGTAATGGCATATGTTGGAACTTGGAACTACCTTGTTGTGGGGTCACCCCCACCACTTTCCAGCAGTTTGATCAGTCCCTCAGGATTACCACCAGCAGCAGCAGTCCGCACTAAATACACTTTCCAAGGTTTGCCCTTGAAAGCTTTTACATTATAAAGATGCGCAAGCATTCCGATTTTCTGAATCGAGGTTTCCAGCTTGGTAGTGCCACCTGTAGACAATCGCAACACATCAGGAATATATTTTACAGTAAATGCAGCTGATCGTACGAAAGGTAAAGCACATGTAGACCAATTCCGATCCCCAGATCCAAGCTTCACTTACTGTTTGCAACTATGATTGTGTACTGCGGGAAACTCGTGTCCGGCTGATCCGCCACCGCCTCCTGGTTAAGTGCTTCACCGTGGGCGGTGGAACCTGCGCAACCCATTTTGTAGGAAGTGTCCGGGGACGTGCTGCCGATGAAGCAGACGCTGCCCGCGGAGGAAGACGCTGCTGGCCAGCAAGACGCTGCCCGCTGAAACAGACGCTGCCCGTGGAGGAAGACGCTGCTGGTCAGGAAGACGCTGCCCGCTGACGTAGGCGCTGCTGGCCAGGAAGACGCTGTCCACTGAAACAGATGCTGCCCGCGGAGGAAGACGCTGCCCGTGGAGGAAGACGCTGCTGGCCAGGAAGACGCTGCCCGCTGACATAGGCGCTGCTGGCCAGGAAGACGCTGCCCGCTGAAACAGACGCTGCCCGCTGAAACAGACGCTGCCCGTGGAGGAAGACGCTGCTGGCCAGGAAGACGCTGCCCGCTGACGTAGGCGCTGCTGGCCAGGAAGACGCTGCCCGCTGAGGTAGACGCTGCTGGCCGGGAAGACGCTGCCCGCGGAAACAGACGCTGCCCGCTGAAACAGACGCTGCCCGTAGAGGAAGACGCTGCTGGCCAGGAAGACGCTGCCCGCTGACGTAGGCGCTGCTGGCCAGGAAGACGCTGCCCGCTGAGGTAGACGCTGCTGGCCGGGAAGACGCTGCCCGCTGAAACAGACGCTGCCCGCTGAAACAGACGCTGCCCGCGGAGGAAGACGCTGCTGACGATTGAAGACGCTGGTGATGAGCAACAAAAAATGTATAAAAAAGACCAATTTACAGTATATCAAACCTTGAATTCAGAAGTGCGAAGATTAGAGAAAGCATGAACTAGTATTTCGAAAATAGTAGATGGACAAAAAGGTCGATATATCTGTAGAGCTAACAATTTTCGCTGGACTAAATACAGCAAACAGATACAGTATTCAAAATTTCACAACGATGCGCTGCGCATCCTGTAGCTATAAAACCGGTTCTGTGTACCGGTTTCTGTATCTAGTATCCTGCGGTTTGCAGAACTCACAGAAGCTATTTCAGCATGCATGCCATAATAATACGATTCGAACCTATTGTCTTTGTTCAGTCGGTTACGCACCAGCGACACACCATGATCCGTTTTTCTCAGTTTTTGCAGTATTGAGAGGAAAATCCAAGTGGTCCGCATTTTCTAGTAACTGCAGAATTACCCAGGAGTAGCATTATTGGTGAAGGCAATGAACAATCACCTAAGCTAAGCGCTGGGAATAACGTTTTCTTATTAAAACAAACTAAAGTGGTAACTGCTTGCGCAGTGCTCGGCTGCAGCAAACCAGTATTTTGATACTACATAGATCTAAATTTCCTAGATCTGCAACTCTACTCGCCCTAATCCCTAATGCATGTCAGAAAAACCAAACAAATTTACCGTGACTATTATAGTGGCTATTGTGTTCATATAATGCAAGAATGTAAACCGACACTGGAACGGCCGCCTCGCAAATTGACAGCATCTGATACAACACAATCAATAAACAAAAAAAACAAAACTTGCCGATAACAGACTTTGCATCATGTACTTTACAGAATCGGCACACTGTCGGTCCAGCTAACCCTAATCGTACGTGTCTGAGGAAAGCTCCTCGAGGAGGATGTCGGTACCGTCGAGCGAAGTTGACCGTCATTGTTAAGCTTATCGCTCTTACACTGGCATTCCCCGCGATGCGCCGGCGCTCCCGGCGTCCTTTTTGATTAATTAACCCTTTTCCTACGAACGAACTTTAGCAGTTTCAATTTTAAATACCACGGGGGCAACTTTTGGTATGCAGCTCACAACCGCCTCCAGTAAAGAGCCACGTTAGCAGCAACCATGCGCTACCGCACGCAGCAGCGGTTTGAGTGCCAGTTTCCTGCGATGGAACTCCACCTTAAATGCTCTTGAGTTTTCCGTGATATCTTGACTATGATATAGTTAATTCTGCTGCCAAATGTTTCATTTTGTAAAAACAATGTTGTTACGAACAACGAATTTTTCGTTTAATTTTTTATGCACGCGTTCGTATGTACTGACAGTTATAGCTAAGGCGGTCAGAACTTGCCTAAATGTTGCCCTCAGGCCCACAGCCATGACCACTGGTCAAATAACGTTTTACATTAGATAGGAAGGATAGAAAAACAGCTATTACAGTCAAACGTTGAGGTATGACTAAGCAAAACATTTTTATAACAATTCTTTAGGAATTTAGAAAACTGTTTTGTCAAGAAGTAACCCCATCGGTTCTAGAAGGACTAAAGTCGGCGGTGGTGGCGCATCAGATACCCGCCTCCGGTATTGAGCGTTACTGGTGCCCAGCATTTTAAGGGATTTGGCCCGGTACATAGCACCAAATTCGTGTACATACATGGGAACTTTCGCTGTCGCGCACTCTCAAACATGTTTTTCCATTGCTTTATGGTATTTTGTAGCCAAAAGATTTGTATAAATAAGCGTGAAATCCGTTTCTGCGTGCAACATCCGGTAAGGGAGATATGACTGTTAGAAAATTCCAGAAAGTTTAAATGCATTCAGCTGTACCAAAAGTCTCATTATGGACCGTTCCCTTTCAAATTTTCCAGGTAAATGCGCATGACCATGAAGATCGTTCTTACACCGATCCACTGTTCTAGCATGCTTTTCAAATTTTAAAATGAATTTCAAAAATTTTAAAATTCATTTTAAAATTCGAAAAAAATCTTGAAAGTCTGGATCCGTGTAAGAATGATCTTCATGGTTATGTGCATTTACGTGCAAAATTTGAAAGGGATTGGTCATAATTTGACTTTTGGTACACCTGAATGCATTTACACTTTTTGGAATTTTCTAACAGCCATAACTCCCGAACCGGATGTTGCGCGCAGAAACTGATTTCCCGCCTGTTTATACAAACCATTTTGCTACACAATGTCAAAAAGCAACCGAATAAAGTGTTTGGAAGTGCGCGTAAGCGAATATTCCCGTGTATGTACACGAATTTGGTGCTATGTACCGGGCCAAATCCCTTAAACTAAAGAACTACGCCCACTTTGGCGCACCACGCAGTAACTACACGTGCATAGAATTATATTTACTGGCAGAAGCAAATACAAAACTAATACAGTGCGATGCTTGTTGAAGTATGATGCTGGACCCAGCTGGAGCTTGGGGATTACGCCAGCTGGAGTTGGTGATCTCGATAACGGTGAGGAGCAGGTGGCGTCGTGTAACAGACATTCGATCTTGTGGTCCGTTGTGGTCAATTGCTGGTCGTATCCTTGACGGTCGAAAAAACCCCTATGTTCATTTTGCTACTCCTGTGTACCTATCAGAATACAATCCCGAATTATTTGTTGACAGCTTTTTTGACAAAGAAATTAATAGTATTATTATTTTGAATATCACGATCATTAACACTTGGGGCTACGTATACATGTACCAATGTATTATTTGACAAAGGTATGATTTCGCTCTGTACCCCGTACGGCCGTGCGGTGTAAATCTGTATTACTGTATAAGGGCCATTTTGCACCACAGTGCGAGTAGAGTAGGTATGTATATGTCGTCATCTGCGTTGCATCATGCACATCAACGTGCAAGATTGTATAACTACAGCATACTCATCGTGGTACAGCAAAATCGTTGTCGCCGTTGCATTGTACGCAGTGAAAATTTTTAGAACTTTAAGCAGTTTGAAATGCACTGCAGTACTTCAACAACCGCAGCACTTCCCAAGTATTGCACCAGTGTACTTCCTTGTTGTACTTTCTTGTTTGAAAACCGTATGACGTGCATTTGTTTGGAACAAATTCAATGAATTGCACGCGGTTGCACAGTTGCAATGAAACCAAGCCAGCACGTTGCAGAATTAGCCGTACTTCTATAGGAGATTCGTTGAAGACTAAGAACCGCGAACCGACTGGTCGATTTCCACTGTGGCTTCCTAAAGCCTGCTTTTTTGACTGACGATGTTTCCTGTGCATTGTGTTTTGATTTTTTTAGCACAAGCCAGTTAGAATTCATGGACTGGCAACAAAAACAGAATTACAACAGCAAAATTTCTTCTAATTTATCCGCTCCTTCCATCGTCCCCAGCACGGAAGCCGCGTTGCCTCATTGTATTTCAATCGACAGACGCTGACGTAAGAATTCGTGTGAGCGAGGTTCCCCGGTGTGTTGCTGTAGCCGCTTGCCAATTTCCTTTATTAAGGCCATTGCCGATTTTCCCCAGGGCCCGAGCGTTTCAAAGGCTAGTGCAGCAAAAATGTATCTGCCTTCAAGATACGCATAGAGTCTGGTTTTCTTATCTTCGGCTTGGGCAGCGGCAGATCCGGCAGCTGAGGAAGTGGACTTGACATGGGATGGGGCGACAGTGTCGACGCAGGTGACGTCCCATGCCAAACACATACAAAGCTTCCAGGCAAAGGTGGTGCATCCGTCCGGGCGACGATCGGACGTATGGGACGTGCCACGTGGTTCGAGTTTTGCTGGAATGCCCGCCGAAACCAATGATCGGCACACAATGCTGTGTTTTTGGAAGAAAGGGAGCGCATCATTACTCGGTCGCGAATGGGGAAAGCGATAAAACAAACAAAGAAAACACAAAAACGCGGGAGCGTACGTCGTAGATTGACTTCACCCTGCCTCCAGCGTATTCATTAGGCAGCTCTAACCAATCAAGTCGTCCGCGGACTTTGCAGCTGGTTTACAACGACCAGTTAAATTTGAAAGATCGAGTTGAAGTTCCATTCATTTCAGGCTCGGTGTCTATTTGCCCGTCCACCCCGTGAGCCCGTAGAGTTCAAACCTGGAATAACTTCTTAACGCCTCATCATATAAGAAACCAAATACTCCATAAATAAAGCAACCTTTAATTAATAGACTTCTCGGGTACTGCCAACTCGTCCAAGCCTACTGACTGATAAAAGGCTGTAAGACCTCTTCGGCGCATGTAGATCTGCTTATTCTGCGGTACATCTCACCCATTTACGTCACAGGGGCGGGACTACGCCATTGTGAAATCAATCTATTGGTCTTACCACAGAACAAGAGAAGCGCCGAGCGGTAAATCTAAGTAATCTAAGTATGCAACCCGGGCACATTTTCCGGGTCCAAATTCAGAAAAATCCGATCTTTGGCAGAAACATAGTATACCATTGTAGTATATTAAAAAAATTAATTTCAGCTGCTGACACTCAAAGGGGGTGGCCAAACAAAATTAATAAGTAAGTAATACTGCATGTTATTACATTGCACTAGCGCAATACCCGCACAGGCTTTTTATAAAATAACAGTATACCAGGAAAGTTTACCTCTTGCAGAAACGTAGCATTTTGCCGCATTATGCTTAATGAAAAATTTCATGTGCGAACGTTAAGATGACACAGTACAAAAACCATTTTGTAGCTGCGATACTTTACGGTAGTGCAACAGTACGTACTAACCACATACTGCCATTGTATTTGGATTCTGGATTTTTCTAATTTCCTCACTGTGTGCAGTGTGCTCCCGAAACTTCTTAAATATATTAAAGTTCAATTTGTTTTAAGCGTGCTATAGTCGTACACTGTCATTCGGCAAAAGATGAGTTCCTGATTTATTATTATTACACTGATACAGACAGCTGTTCGAGTAGTACACTAGTGCAGTGCAATAGTATGTACTATTACTTGCTTGTAATTTGTTTGGCCACGCCCTTTGAGTGTCAGCAGCTGAAATTATTTTTTTTAATATACTACGATGGTATATTATGCTTTTGCCAAAGATCAGATTTTTCTGAATTTGGACCCGGAAAATGTGCCCTGGTAAGTAATCGGCCTCCGACTCGGCGTCACGATCTGTGAACCGCACGACTGCGTCAAATGCCACAAACCCGTTGGTGGTTACGGGCACCACGGGTTATCGCGTACTCTCTCCGCTGGACGGCATCCGCGCCACGGCGGGTTAAACAGCATCATTTGTACGGCCTTTGTATCCGCTGGTGTGCCTGCAAAACTGGAGCCGCGCGGCACCTCTCATACAAATGAACGCCGCCCGGATGGCTGCACGACATTTGCCTGGAAGCGCGGATTGTGTCTTGCATGGGACGTGACCTGTGTAGACACGGTTGCGCTGTCGCATGTTAAGGCCACTTCCACTACAGCGGGAGCGGCTGCCGTGCAAGCAGAGGGAAAGAAATCAGGACTATATTCCTATCTAACCGGCCGCTACC